GGGCCCTGGGCCCATGGACAACCTGACAGGTCCCGGTCAGCACGGTTTTTCCTGCATTGTCGCTACCTCAGGTGTGAGCTGAGAACGCAGCGCCAGCACGTTGTCCCCTGATCTCACGGCACCCCCACTCCTCCTGGGGGTTCAGCCTTCCAGAGCAAGCCCAGAGGCCAGGCTCAGCCCAGCACCCCCAGAGGGGCAGAGGCAGCTCATCCCAGGACCTTCTCAGCCGCCGGGCCGACTTTGCTCCTCCGCAAGGCCAGGAGCAGCCCTGCTGACCACGCGGGCTAGCGCCCTCTGGAGTGAGACCTGGGTCCCAGCTGCAGCCCAGCAGGTGCTGTCACCCCAGGTGTCCTTCCGGGCCTTTTTGTCCCCTTTCTTGCTGCCCCCACCTGCTGAGCTCAGTCACCCTTCAGCTGTGCCCTTGGCCGCTCGGGACTGTGTCCATCTGAAACAAATCATTTACATTCGGGAAACTGGAAAAGAACAGAACAAACAACACTGAAGCGCCAGTGGCCTTGCTAAAGCCCAAGGCAGAAGGAAGGAAGGAGGGTCCGGGCAGCAGCGAGGGTGTGAGGTGCAGGGCCTCTCTGTCCAGCCTGGCCCCTCTGACAGGAGCCCCGGCTGGCTTGTCCTAGAGGAGGAGGTGACACTAATGACAGCCTGGGGGCAGCACCCACAGAAAGGAGGCGAAAGGAATGACCTAGAGCAGTGTCTGCAGAACAAGCACCCGCAAGGGCCCCTTCTCTAACTGCAGGAAGTCAGGCCGCCAGGCGCACACAGCTTGGGACGGTGCCCGGTGATCCCAGCATAAAGAGCATGGGCCGGCATGCAGGCGCCACACACCTGCTAGAGGGGTAGGGGGCTTCCCTCCCAGTGCTCATGAGGGCTTGCCTATCCCCCCAGAGATGGCTCGAGCTCTCACCCTGCACCCACTGTCAACATTCCCCACAGACTCAGATTCGGCGTCGGAAGTGCTGAGCCAAGGCCCAGAGAGTTTGTCTGGGGTTGGGCTCCTGCCTTGCCCGCGGCTGACCCAGGTCTGATGCCCAGCACCGAGCAGCAGCCCAGAGAAATTCCCAAGTACAGTCAGATATGAATGAATGAATGAATGAATGAAGAGAGGGGAGCTTTGGGTCCACCGCTGGCTCGGCCCCAGCTCCCAGGAGCAGAAGCCAGAGACCCTTAGCTCACACGACCCTCTGAAGGAGCAGGGTGTGGCCACTGCTCAACCTGGACTGGATGTACCAGCCAGCCCGTCGACACATGTGTGGGGTCCACCCCAGTAGTGAAATGACCCCCAGGGATTTATCCCATCGCTGCCCCTCCTCTGCAGGCCAGCCCCAAGCACTGGGCTCTGCTCCTTCATGCTTCTGACCTGTATCCGGGGGCACCGGCCTGTGTTCTGGAGTCTGCAGGTGTCCAGGAGGAGGAGAGTCTGGCGGGAAGGCAGAGCCAGGAACTGCCCAGCCGGACACTGCTGGCGGGGGAGCTGAGGTCAGCACAGAGCCGCGTGGACGGACAGAGATCCCCGCCGAACCCCCAACTATCACCCGCCTCCTCGGCCCCCTCCCAGGGCACCTCCCACTCTTGGACCTTCAGGCCCCCTCCTCCCTGTGCCCAGGGGTCTGTGATCCGCGAGGGCAGCGGCTTTGGTGAGGGGCCATCCTGAGCCCAGCGTGAGTGCCCGCCCCTCTGCTGCACCAGGCCCAAGCTCCAGCCCAGCTCATCTGAATTGCAGAAAAGCGAGTCATTTTGATGCAATCTTTCATCTGTCTTTCCCCTGCCAACCGCATTTCCAAACCAGTTGAGCGGTGAAATGAAACCAGCCTTCTAATCTGCATGTCTTTGCCTGGGAACAAAGTCCTCTGTGCCCTCTCAGCCAGTGGCCCACCCAGGTCCTGCCACCGTCCCAGGACCTGGGGGTCCCAGTCTCTGGAGGATTGCTAGGCGCCCGCCTCGACTCTGGAAGCATTTTTCAGATGCTGTTACCAGTGCGGCGAGCCGGACTTGATCTGGGGCCCAGACGTGCATGCTTGCTCGACTTAGCTCTGTTGCCGTGTTTTACTTCCAACTTGAAAGCTTCAGCCGAGCAGAGTTTAAATAACACTTCTGAAAAGTTTTGTCTTTTAGCCAAGTGCCAGAATGTCTAGGTAAACAGCGCTGCAAGCACTCACGGGCTTGATTTATTTCAGCTATTTTCCCCGGCTGGATTTCTGAGATGGGTTAAGACTGGATTTCTTCCAAGCAGCTCTGGGCAGGAAGAAAACTTGAAAGCCCAGGAGAGCCTGAAGTACCTGCACTCGGACCCTGACACAGTTACCGGGAGCTGAGTGCATGCAGTCTGAATTCTCCCCCTTGCCTCAAGTTCTCCTGCAAACACAAGACTCACTCTTCACGCACTTCTCTGGTCCGGTTATGGGACAAACATGGTGAGCTGTGAGTGGACCCTACACACTCAGTAACACACAGCAAGAGCAGGCTCAGTAAAAGACCCGAAGATGGGGAACTAACTGGAGCCTGATCACCCCAGAGAGGAGGAGGAGGGGACCACCCCGAGGCCCAGAGGTCTGCTCGGAGCATAACTGTCCTCTTCCGCTCCTATTTATTGTCTACTTGATTTGGTGGCCACGCCAGCAGTGCTCGGGGCGTGCTCCTGGCTCGATGCTTGGGGATCGCTCCTGGGGAGACCCAGGGGACCGTTCAGGGTGCAGAGACAGAAGCCGGGCTGGCTGCTTGCAAGGCGAGCAGGTTACCTGCCAGCTATCACTGTGGTTCTTGGGTTTGGTCATCACACGCTCAATGCTCAGGGTTTTCCCAGGGGCGCTGATGACCTAAGCCCAGGTCCTGTTTCCGCCCTGGCTGCTGCCCATGGTGGGATGAGCATGGTGCCCTGAACTGCAGTAGTGCTGTCACTGCAGAGTGACCTGCATCATGCATGACCTGTCCCCACCCACTGTGGCTTCCACGGCCCCTTCTCCTTCCCAAAGGGACTCGATCTTTTCTTCTCTTTGTGGAGCGGGACTGGAACCCAGCTCTCCTGCATGCAAGGCCCAGGGCCCCAGGAAGGCTCTGAGTAGCAGATTTGCTAAGGGACCATCCGGCGTCAGCTCGGGTGGGAGTGATGGAGGAAGACGCTGGCCTCCGAGAGTGCCCGCCTCCAGCACGCCATCCCCCTCTGTTCTTGTGGGCTACACCTGGCGGTGTTCAGGGTTCGAGGACCCCACATGGCCATGGGGAGAGACACAGCCGGCCTGCTGTGCTCGCTCCCACCCTCCTCCCGTTCTCTTCCACCCAGCAGGAACGTCACAGAGTGTAGGATGGGCTTAGTGCAGGCACAGTCCTGCCGGGCAGGACCCGGGTGTCGGTGAGGGGCTCCCACACCCCACTGCCCTGGCTTGCAGAGGCCAGCATCCCGGAAAGCTGGGGGCGGGGGTAGAGAAGCTTCTCCTGGCCAGAGCCCCTTCCTGGGGACAGACTCAGACGCCCACCTCTATCCTGCTGGTGCACGGCCTCTCTCTCAATGAGGAGGCAGAGGCAAACCCACTGACCACAGGGCTGGGATCCCGGCGGGCAGCACCTCCTGACACATGCAGCAGATGGGGGCTGTCCGGGACACACCTCGGCCAGCAAGAGGGTGAGAAGCATCTTGGAACCACGTGCCAGCCTGTCCTGGGCTTTGCTTCACGGCCAGGTGCCTGGTGACTCGGCCACCAACAGCACTACTCTGAGGAGTCCAGGGGCCGGAGCTTGGAGGGGCCCCTGCACGAAAGCTCCAGGCCAGAGGGGTCCCTGCATTAAGGCCCCGGCGGAGGGGCCCCGCCTGTGTTTCAGCCTCGCCCTGGGCTGCGTCTTTGGGTGAACTGGGGGAGGGAGGCAGCTGTGTGGCTTGTCGCGCCTGAGTTATCCTGGCCGAGGTGACAGGGAAGCTCTTAGTAGCTTTGTTAGACTTTGTTAATCTGAAGGTTCGCTGGTGACTGTCTCCACTTGGATTCTGATGCTTTGGCTGACTATGCTTTGGGAGTTTTGGCTGCACCTGTCAGCGCTCTCAGACCTCACTCCTGCTCTGTGCTCAGCCTCATGCTGGACTTGTGAATAACAGAGATGCTAGCCTTTTATTTTATGTTCACATTATTCACAAATCATTACGGGAAAGGTAACAGTGAGAATGTGTTTTAGGGCCAGAGAAATAGCACAGGTGCTGAGGCACTTGCCCTGCACGGGCCAAGCCGGATTCGACCCCTGAGCACCTCCAGTAGGAGGCCTGAGCGGGGAGCGCTCGGGGCTGAGGGCCCGGGACCCGAGGATCAGCCGCCCACACTCACTGCCGGCTCTAGGGGCTCTGCAGCCCACATGGCACCAAGGGAGCGGCTCTCCCCCGACTCAACTCAGCACTCACTGCAGCCAGGGCGGAGGCGAGGTGGGCGGGGTGGGCGGGGTGGGCGGGACCCTGGAGGGAGGGGCCGTGGTGGGGCGGAGCCAGTGTTGGGGCGGGGCCAGTACTGGGGTGGGGCCAGGACTGGGGCCTTGGCCCGTTCTGGAGGTGGGGCCAGGGCTGGGGGCGGGGCGAAGACCGCGGTGGGGGGGAATAGGGCGGGGCCAAGGCGGAGACGGGCATCATAGGGAAAGCCCGAGGGTGGGGGCGGGTCTTCACGGTCGGAGCGGAACCTCCTGGGGGCGGGACCTGTAGGGAAGCTGAGGGGCCCCAGGAGAGGGCGGGGCCTCCCGGGGAGGGGCGGGGCCTCTTGGAGGGGCGGGGCCTTCGCGCGGGCGCGGTCTCCCGGAGGGGCGGAACCTGCGCGGACGGGGCGTGGCCACCCGGAGGGGCGGGGCCTGAACGGGCGGGGCGGGCCTCCCGGGGGCGGGGCCTGCGCGGGCGGGCGGGGCTGTGCCTCCAGGCCGCTCTCTGCAGCTCCCGCCCGCCCGCGGCGACCCGGCCACCCACGGGGGCTCCGCGCGGCGCCGACCCCCGGGCGCGGCTGGGTCCCGCACTGCCCCCGGACATGGCCGGCCGCCCTCAGTCCTACCTGAGCCCGCGCGGGGTGCTGGTCACCGACTTCCCGGTGCACGGCGAGAGCCCCCCGGACCAGGCCGACCCGCCGGACCCCTCGGACCCGCCGGACCCGCCGGACCCCCCGGACCCGCCGGACCCGCCGGACCCCCCGGACCCGCCGGACCCACCGGATCCCCCGGACCCCCCGGACTCGCCGGACCTCCCGCGCCCCCCGGATCCCCCGAGCCCCCCGGGCCCCCCGAGCCCCCCGGAGCCCCCAACCCCCCCAGACCGCGCCCCGCGGCAGCTCATCCCGCGCGCGCTGGCCTCCGAGCCCCGGCGCCGGCAGAAGGCGCGCTGCCCGCTGGACGCGCTGGACGCGCCAGCCGCGCCGGACAGCCCCGGGCCCCCGCGCCGGGGCCTGCGCTCCACGTCCTACCGTCGCGCTGTGGGCAGCGGCCTGGAGCCCGCGCGCGCCGCCAGGAAGAAGAACCGCGCGTCGCAGCCCGCGCTGGCCGCCGTGGCCGAGGGCTGGGGCCGGCTGGCTGGCCGGGGCAGCATCCAGGTGAGCGGCCCGGCCGGGGCGGGGGCGGGCGGAGGCCCTGGGAGCCCCGCGGGGAGAGACCAGAACGGGCCTGAGCGCTAGGACTCCCGGGCTGACCAGGGGGCACCCAGGCCCACCCGGCCAACACCCACAGGCAGAGACCAGTGGACCTGGCTTTATGCTCTGTGTTCTGGGCCACACCAGAGGTGCTCAGGGCTGACTCCTGGCTCTGTGCTCGGGTCACTCCCGGCTCTGTGCTCGGGTCACTCCCGGCTCTGTGTTCAGGGTCACTCCCGGCTCTTGTGCTCGGGTCACTCCTGGCTCTGTGCTCGGGGTCACTCCTGGCTCTGTGCTCGGGGTCACTCCTGGCTCTGTGCTCAGGGCTGACTCCTGGCTCTGTGCTCGGGTCACTCCCGGCTCTGTGCTCAGGGTCACTCCTGGCTCTGTGCTCGGGGTCACTCCCGGCTCTTGTGCTCGGGTCACCCCTGGCTCTGTGCTCGGAGTCACTCCTGGCTCTGTGCTCAGGGCTGACTCCTGGCTCTGTGCTCAGGGTCACTCCCGGCTCTGTGCTCAGTGTCACTCCTGACTCTGTGCTCACAGCTCACTCCTGGCTCTGTGCTTGGGGCTCACTCTAGTGGGACTCCGGACCCCTGCCGTGCCAGAGATGGTACCCAGGTCCCCTGGTGCAAGGCGAGGGCCTTCCCGCTGTGTCTGGCCCCAGTAGCTGGCTTCTTACACCGCTGGTCACAGCCCCACGTGGGGCAGCATAAGTTTTGAAAAACATATTTTAAAGTGAATGTCCTGGTGACTACTTGTGGCAGGGGTTTGACCTGCAGCCCCTGACCAGGTGGCAGCAGTTTCTGAGACTGGAAGGGGCAGCAAGTGGCAAAGCCTGTGCCGTTCAGGCCAGGAGCAGGGGGGCCCGAGACACGGGGTGCAGTGAGGGGACATGCCTGCCTTGGCCGATCCGGGTATGATCCGGGCACCCCAGAGGATCCCCTGGGGACATGCTCGGGGGCCTCTGGGTGGAGCTGGGATGGCGGTGCCTGTGTCAGGGTGCTGCTGCAGGTCTCCTCGAGGCCAGGGCTGTGGGTGCTGCTTGGGGTAGCCTTGCCACGCACAGTGGGGCGCTAGTGGGGGACCCTGAGTGGTGGTCTCTCTTCCCCGGACCCTCTCCCGGGCAGCCACAGACAAGTGACCAGCAAGGCCTGAGTCCTGCTCCAGGGGCCGGAGTCTGGGCTCGAAGACCCTAGGAGGGAGGGGCCACGCAGCCTCGTGAGGCCGTTGTTCACCCCCTGCTCGTGCTTGAGCCTCCCCAGGACCCTGCGCTCTGGTCCTGGAAGTGCTGAATCTCCCAGCGACGAGAACCTCCCCCCCCCACCCCAACACACACACACACACACTGCTGCGTTTCCCGTTTGGCTCACTCACACAGTTTGCCTTTTCTTTCTCTTTTTTTGTTTTGCTTTTCTCGTTCCTTAGAAAAAAATGCTGAAAGGACAAGGAGCATTCGATGGGGAAGGTAAGTGTTTTGATTTCCAGACCTCGTGCTGTGTCAACGTGGAATATCAATTATAAATGGAAATCCCGCTGCAGTCAGCAAACATACCGAGGATGAGAAAAACGTCCGCTCGTGCCGTCACGCAGTGTGAAGCTGTGCACGCAGCTGGGTTTCCTGAGGGAGGCTGGGCTCACGGCAGACCCCTGCGGGCTGCCCGTTTCCTGATGCCCCATCATCTGCCTCCGCAGGGCCCGGAGGTGCTGTTCCTGAGCTGTGGGTTTGGGTCTGATGTCGACCCTCCTCCACTCCATCACGCGTCCCCGAGACATCCACTCTCTTTGGTTGGGGTCTGGGCGGGACTGGGGTCAGGCGCGGTGACACTCGGTGGCCTGGGCCGTGTTAGTCCATGGCAGGCCCAGCGGTGCTACAGCGTGAGGCCCACTTAGCAGAGGCGGCTGGCGCGGTGCCTGGCCACCCCCCAGCCCCAGATGTCTACTCTCTTAGTGTCGGTTCTTGTCACTCGCCTCCTCCCACCCACAGAAACAAGGTCCCCTAGAGCTTGTAACTGTGCACATTTGGGGGTTAAGAGAAAAGCCCCTTGCCAAGTGCTCAGGTCAGCGTTCGCTCTGTGGGTTTGTGGGGTCTGCTTCCAGCTGCAGGAGCCTGGGGGGCAGCGCCCTGCCCTGACCCGTCCCTGTGTCCCCCTGTGCCTTAGAGGACGCACCAGCGGGACCCCAGCCCCTCTCCGGCCCTGTTCTGTGCCTGTTTGGGTCCCGCCCGGCCGTGCTCAGGGCCTTCTCCCGGCTGTGCACTTGGGGTTCCTCCTGTGGGCTTACGGGACACACGTGGTGCCAGAAGTGGAAAGAGGGTCAGCGCATGGGGGTCCAGGGCCTGTCTGCCACCCGTCTCTGGCCGCCGCTGCCTTGTGCTCCCCGCTCTCTGTCACTGCAGCCCTGGCGCTGGGCTGGCGTGCCTGCTCACTCTGGTGCCATTGGGGCCTGCACACGGGTCATGCGTGTCCATCTATGCGGAGGCTGTCCCCGTGTGGGTCTCACAGTCCCAGCTCCCGCCTGTCTGTGCTCAGGAGACGGGTGAGGGGCTGGCGGCTCTTACCCCCCATGCGTTTGAACGCGACTGCTGGCTCCCAGGAGCCACCCAGAGCGGGTGGAGAGTCAGACTGAGTCGCCCTGGTCCGGTGAGAGGGAGCCACTTGGCGCGTGCTCCTGGCCAGCCCGAGCTCCCGTCTGGAATGCAGCAAGAGCCAAGCCAGTCAGGGCTGGAGAAGGGAGTGGCCTCCCGGGGAGGTGTGTCAGGCCCCTCTGTCCAGGGCAAGTGTGATACGCTGGAGTCCCTTGTACCCGCTTGCACCTGAGGAAGTGCGGGGGGGGGGGGGGGGGGGGGGTGCGGCGCGCGGGCCCCAGCAGGCACTGCTGTCCCCTTCCCTACCCAGCAGGCGGTGCTGGGAGTGTTGGGCCGACACCGCCCCAGGCCCAGCCTGCCTTCTCAGCCTTGGAGCTGGGGGCTGGTCTCACAGGAACACACACACACCCCGCCCCCACCCAGATCTACCGCGGGCCCCCCTCCCCCACTTTTCAGCCACACCTGGGGCAGCGCCTGGCCCGTGCCCAGCTCAGCACCGCCCGCCTGCTTGCTGGCAAACCCGTCTTCTGTCCAGCTCCTGTCTGGTGCTGTGCCTGGGCTCTGAGCCCCCACCCTGCATCTGTCCCCCAGGCCCTGTGTGTATCACCCTCCCAGGAGCCCCGGGGACCCCCTTCTCGCTGGGCCAGAAAGCAGCAGCCTCCTCAGCACCAAGCCAGACCTTCACGCTGACTCCCCAGCCCAGCCCAGGTCCTGGCACACGCAGCTTTGGAGCAGAGCCTGCCCCAGGGCCTTTGCACCTGTGGCTCCCGCACAGACCTGTCACTGGGGCTGTCTGGCCCTGCGGGTGCTGCCCATCCTTTCTTAGGCTTTTCCTCTCTGCCGCACTATGATTGGTCTCCTAGCTACTCCTGCTCCCAACTCAGCTGACCCCCAGAGAAGTAGCTTCATGTCCTTGCTCAGGGCTTGGTTAGTGGCCCAGAAGCCAGTGGCAGGGACACAAGGGCGGGGGGGAGTTTGGTGGTCTTGGCCCATGAGGCCTGGCAGGTGGTGCAGGCTGGTGGGGTACGGGAGGCGGGCGTGTGGGTGGTCGTGGGTACTGCCCTGCCCATGCACCCTCCCTCCTGCAGCGGGGGGGCAGTGAGGGTGATGGGCGGGTCGGCGGGCGGGCGGTGAGCTGGCCTGTGTCCGGCCCGCAGGAGATGCTGTCCTCCCCCAGAACCACCAAGGAGAGTCAGAGCCCAGCGAGCAGAAGGCAGACGAGAGCGCCGGGGCCCAGCCCAAGCCCGTGTCGCCCACCTGGAGCCAGCTATCCGCCGTGAGTGGCTCTGGGGGCCGGGACGCATCCCCTGGGTCTCCGCAGCCCCAGTGTGACTGTGGATACTGGGTTAGGCCGGGCTGCCTTATTCCGGACGTCTCCTCCTCTTGCTCCTCCTCCTCTTGCTCCTCCTCTGACTCCTCCGACTCCTCCTCCACCCTGCTGTCCTTGCAGGGACTGGCCAGGGCAGAGTGGCCAGTCCCGGGCAGGGCTGGGTGTCTGCAGCTCAGCGGTGCTCCCTGGGATGCTTGTGCCAGCTCGGGGCAGTGCTCCCCCTCCGTGGGCCACGTCTCTGGCCTCACAGGCTGTGGCTGTGGCGCAGGGCAGCCTGGGGTGGGCTGGAATCAACCTCTGGGCCAGCTGCCACCCTTCCAAGTGGGCACTGCCTGGAGACCACCGAGGCAGCAGTGGGCGGCTGGTGTCCTGTTGTATGGAAGCCTCCAGCCCCTGGCCTTCGCACAGGGCCTGGGTACTCGGTGGTGACTGGTCACTTCCTGTCCAGCGAATGACTTCCTGTCTTGGCCAAATGTGTGTTTGGATTTGGGGAGTTTGTTTTCTTGTTCTATGTTAGACCACCCCTGGGGGTGCTCGGGGCTTACTTCCAGTGGGCTCCAGGGACCCTCTTGATGCCAGGGATGGAACCAGGGTCAGCGTGTGCACGGCCAGCGCCCTGCCTGCCATCCCCTCCAGCCCCAGATGTGTGTCTGTGGCTGGGGGACAGTTTCCTGTCCCGGCCCCTGGGGTGTCCGGTCCTCTGGCTTGGCAGGTGGACACACGTCCTGTGTCAGGGTCCTGGCCAGTCGACTCTGGCACACTGGAGTGTGATTCCCCAAGCCGCTGGACTCACTCCCTATAGGAGACGGAGTGGGAAGGGGAGAAGCCTCTGCCCTGGCCTCCCGCGCACCGCAGGCCCCCGCCGCCCCCGAGAAAGAACCGCGCAGAGAGGGGGAAAGCTGGAGGTCAAGCAGCTCCCCGTTTAGTAGCTCTCACACAGGGGTATCTTTTTTTTTAATTTTTATTAGTGAGACATCATGAGGTACAGTTGTAGACTTACAGAATTTTGTGCTTGGTTTTCAATTATACAATGATCAAACACCCATCCCTCCACCAGTGCCCATTTTCTACCACCACGGGTCCCAGTATCCCATCCCCCTCCCACCCTGCCTCTGTGGCAGGGCATTCCCCTCTGTTCTCTCTCTCCTTTTGGGTGCTGTGGTTTGCAAAAGAGGCATTGAGGGGCATTCATGTTCGGTCCATAGTCTACTTTCAGCATCACACAGGGGTATTTACACATACATCTCCGAGGGCAGTCCACACAGCTTGGTACAGGCGCAGGACAGATGTTAGTTGATGATTTACATTTCCCGCCTTCAGGGCTGGGTGTGTTAACGGGCAGAGGGTGAGGGTGCGTCCTACCTCCTGTTATCCTCTCAACCAGGGCGCCTTTCTGGGTGGAGTGCCAGGGCAAGGAGCGCTCCTGTTTCCAAGGGCAGGGATTTTGGCCAACAGTCAAAGTGAGACCCCGACAGTCCTGCACCCACCCTCTCCGGAGTCTGCTAGGGACACGTCCCCAGAGTGGGGTGATCCTGAGCATGCGGCCAGGAGAGGGGCCCTGAGACAGCCCCGCCCACTGCCCACGGACTCCACATCTGGGGGAGTGAGACCTGCACCCCGAGTCCACCTGGCTCTGGATTCTTCATTTTTAAAAGATTGATCGTTTGGGACCTCCAAGTAGAGCTCGGGGGGCTGAGAACCCCTCCTGTGACAGGCCAGTGCAGAGCCCGGGCTGGCGTGTGTGGAGCCCAGGGCTGGCGTCTGCGGGGCCTGGCGTTGCCTTCTCTTCTGACCGTGGCCTCACGTGACCTGAGGGCTGGCATCCGCAGCAGCTGCCCTGCCCACCAAGCATTGCCGCCCCAGCACTATCTCGGAGGCAGAGACCTAAGCAGGAGTGCGGGAAGCAGGTTGCTGAGGGACCACGGGGGGGGTCCCTGCTGACTGTGCAGGCTTGCCCTCGTCTGACTCTGGGGTGGTTCCCAAGTCTGCATGGCTGTGCCCGGCCCTGCCCCATGCCCCGACCGGCCGCACTTTGGACCAAAACACTGGGCGGTGGGTGCACCTGTGTCTGGCTGAGGGTGTGTGTCCCTGGTAGGACAGACATCGCCCGCCCTGCCTTGGAGGGCGGGAGGCCAGGGGGCGCATGCACCTGCGGGGGGCCAGCTCGAGGCTCCATGACCTCCGGTCATCAGCGGCTGCACCACGACGTCCCTCCCGGTCTGGCACCTCGGTTCCGGGGGCCTGTCAGCTCCTGCTTCTGAGACAGGCCCCTCACCTTTCCCATCATTGCGTGCACATACATGCACACACCGGGTACATGTATGTGCACATGTGCAGGTATGATGGCAGTGCACGTGGGTGAGTGAGCCCATGTGCATGTGGGGTAAATATGTGTGCACACATGACTATGGGGCACATGTGAGAACACATGGGTGTATGCCCTCACATGTACACATGGGGTACATATGTGTGCATGTGTGACTGCAGGACACGTGCTAGTGAGCACACGTTTGTGTGACCTTACGCATGTGTGTACACACAGGATACATATGTGTGCACATGTCAGGTATGACTGTCGTGCATAGCACGTGGACATGTGCCCTTATACATGTGTGTGCACATGTGACTGTGAGTGAGCATGTGGACTTGTGCCCATATATATGTACAAATGTGGGAGTCTGCACACATATGTGAGCACGTGGGGTCCCCATGGGCCGGTGTGCATGTACGTGTGCGTGTACATGCACATGTATGTGTGCGTATGTGTACATGTATGTGCATGCACGTGTGCGTGTGTATGCATGTGTGTACATGCATGTGTGTGTGTATGTGCGTGTGGGCGTGTGTGTGTGTGTGTGTGTGTGGGGGGGGGGGGGGTAGGCAGGCTTTGCTCTCCCTGCAGCTCTCTGCATTCCTGCACCACAGCGGCTGACCCTCTCGCCTCCTTGCAGAGAGAGGACTGGAACCCGGTTTTCCTTTGAGGAGAAACATGTTCCGTGTGGCTTTGGGCACAGTCCCTGATGCTAGCCCTGGGCTTGTCCTCTGCCCAGACAAGACAGAGACCAGTGTGCTCCTTCACAGAGATCACAGTATCGCGGGGTCACAGATAACGGGCCGGAGAGAGGCCACACAGGCAGGGCAGTGGCCTGGCATGCGGCTGACCCAGGTTCTGCCCCCAGCACTGCCTGGAGCGAGCCCTCAACAGGGAATAGCTCTGAGCACTGCTCGAGGTTCCCCCAGAGGGAACAGGCTGAGCCCTCTCCTGGCTGACGCTGGGGGACGCTGGCATCTCAGAAGCCTGGGGGCGGCAGAACCAGCCCTGCAAGCCAGGCCTTTAACTGAAATGGTTCATCTGGTGAAGTTCTTTATGAGCATCGTTTTTGAATTTTGAATCAAATCTCTCATTTTCAGGGTTGGTGGCAGAACACGTTTCATCTGTTTGAGACCTAGGGTTCCAATCCCAGCACCCGAGACTGAATGGCTGGACGGACAGGGCATGGGGGGATTGTGGGTGGATGGGGGAGGAGGGACGGAGAAGGGACAAGTAATGGATGGATGATGGGTGGATGGGGATGAGGGTGGAGGAGGAATGGATGGAGGAGGGCGGAGGAGGGAGGGATGGCTGATGATGGAGGGATGGATGATGGTAAATGGTGTTTGGAGAGTATCCAGAATGAGGGTTGGACCACCCTGGCCTCACCTGGCCGTGCTCCGTTCCAGATTCTTTCTGGTTTTTACAGGTCCACAGGGCTGAGGGCTCACGTTTGCTCGAGGCATGGGCCGGGGGCACACGTGTGAGCCGAGGTGACCCCGACCCTGGCCACCGCAACTCACCTGCATACTCTGCCTAGGTGAGAAGGAATGGACTCTCCCAGACTGTGAGCCAGGAGGAGCGTAAGAGGCAGGAGGTAGGTTCTGAGGGTCGGTGCTGCGGCTGCTCCCAGCCCAGATAGACCCTCCACACTTCCAGCTGAAGCTTGCTCGCACGGCGTGGCACTGGGTGGGTGTGACACTCAACTGGTGACAGCCACCCCCAGAAAGGAGGTGTGATGTCCCCACGGCTCCTTATCTTATTGGAGCCTTGGTATGTCCCTTGGGCTCCCTCCTGGTGGGAGTGACCTAGGGGGTACCTGCTGGCTCTGGAGGCCTGGGACTGTAACCCGGTCAGTGGCCTGCCCTCCAGCCCTGGTTGTCTGGTTGGCCTGTTCCTGGCGGTGCTCTGGGCATCCCGAGGTGCGGGATGGGGTCTCCCACGTGCCGTTGGGCAAGGCCCCGCCTTCGACACTGAGTTCTCATAGGGCTCTGAGGTGGACAGAGGGTTGGAGAAGGGACATTGGTCGACGTGGGAACCGGCCAGGTGTGATGGAACCTGGGGCCCTCAGGAGCAGTCTGGCACCCCTGTCCGTGCATGGTGCCCCCCACCAAGCACGGCACAGCCCCGATGCCCAGGACCGCCCCTGGGAAAGGGTCTGCTGAGAAGGCGGAGCCACGTTGTGCCAGTTGGGGGCAGATGCCGTGTGGGCGCTGGGCGTGTACGCTGCCCATCTGTATCTGTGATGCATCACGTCCCATTCATCCTGCCATGGTAGCACAGCCACAGGGCTGCCCCTTACAGGCGGGAGGCTGACTCCTCACCCCGTTGCTCTGTCATCAGAGCCAAGGGGAACGCCAGGGCACCCCGGGAACGTGCTCTGACGTGCGTATTCCCCACGTCTGGGAGAGCAGAGCCATCCAGAATACCCGTGTCACTGGGCGGGGGACTGGCCAGCGTGGGCCACCTTGTCATTCTCTCTGGTTCAGAAGGGAGATAATGCCACGAAACGTCCACCCGGTTCTCCCCTTCCCGGTTTCTGGAGGCCTTGTGGGAGTCACCAGGACATGCCTGTACTTGGGCTATGGAAGTTATAGCCGGGGGAGTTGCAGCCAGAGCCTCCAACCAGGGGTTACAGCTGGGGGAGTTACAGCCAGAGCCTCCAGCAGGGTCAGTCAGAATCTTAATATAGTTGGGGGGTTACAGCCCAGGGTCAAGTCAGAATTACAGGTAGGGTTTCAGTTGGTGTCATAGTCGGGGGGTCACAGTCATGGGTCACGGTCAGGGGTCACAGGTTGCTTTCAGGGGGTCACAGCCATGGATCACAGTCAGTGGGAATAGGGCCACAGTCATGGCACAGCCAGACACAGCCGGGAGTCACAGTCGGGTACAGTCGGAGGTTTCCGTCAGTCCCATTGAAGGTCATAGTCAGAGGTCACAGCGGTTATAGCCAGAGGCTCCCATCAGAGTCACAGGGGTCACAGCTGTTCACAGCCAGGGTCATCCTCGGGGGTACAGTCGGAGGTTCCCGTCAGGAGGCGCAGCAGTGGGTGGTGAGCAGAGGGGCTGTGAGCACCCACTGGCCGTGACAGTCTCTGCACCTGCAGCCCTGGCGCTGTGCGTGGTGTTGCAGACACATGCCCTGACAGATGCCTGCTGTCCTGACAGGCCATCATGGAGGTCATCTCGTCCGAGCGCTCCTACCTGCTCAGCCTGCACACCCTCATCCGCATGTTCAAGGACTCCCAGGAGCTGGGCCAGACCATGACCAAGACGGAGAGGCATCATCTGTTCTCCAACATCACCGACGTGTGTGAGGCCAGCAAGAAGTGAGTGCTGGGCTGAGTCCTCCCTGAGTGCTGGGCTGAGTCCTCTCTGAATTCTGGTTGTGTCTCTGCCCCAGGACGTCCTCCCTTGGGGTCGGGGAAGGTGTCCCGCCCTTCCTTCCTCAGTGCCCCTTGCCCTGCCCTGCCCAGTGCCCTATGACTTCTTGTGGGGTCATTGCTAAATCGTGGTCACGTGGCCATTTTGTGTTTGCTAAGTGCCATGGGCACCAGTGGGGGAGATTCTGGTCTTGTTCCCCAAGGCCTCCCGACAGTGCCCAGGGCCGCGGGCACCCCACTGCCCGCCGGCTGGCTCAGGGCTGCTGACAGGATCTGGCCGGACCGACTGCTCTAACCCTTGAGCTGCTTTTCCGGCCCCCGATGTCTCCTGATGTGGTTGTTTGAGCCGCACCCCTGGTTCTCAGGGCCTCCAGCTCTCCTGCCAGTGCTCCGGGGAGTGTGCAGTGTTGGGACGGAATCCCGGCTCCCCTGAGAAAGGCCTGCCCCAGGGGCTCGGCTATAGGGAGACTTTCTCTCTGGTGCTCTCTCTCCTGGCCCCGGCAGGGAAGGAGTTTCAGTCACAGGCTGGCCGGAGGGGAGCGGAGCACAGCGGGGCTCTGAGGAGTCTCCGGCTCCCTGCGGGGAGAGCAGGTGAAGGCAGATGCTCTGGGTGGGATAAGAAATGCTCGAGGGCTTGGAACCAGGGGACGTGTCTGTGGGTGTCCGTGGCGGGGTTGCACCTGCCTCCCCCCACCTGTCCCCTAAGAACAGCCTATGTGAAGGTGTGGCCTGTCCCGGGTGCAGGTGGTCGGAGGCGGGAGTGGGCTGTGGGTGGGACACGCGTGGTCGGGGTGGGATTGGGCAGCCTTCATGTCCCAGGAGACCGGCCCCGCCCCAAGATGCTCTAAATGCTCGTTTCCAAGTCCTCGAGCAAACAAGTTTGTCCTTCTTGAACGCAAGAAGGACTTTTTAGTGGGGGCCACACCCGGCTGTGCCCACTCTGTGGACCCTGTGGAGTCCCAGGGCTGGACACGGGTTGACCATAAGCCAGGCACCTTCACCCCGGAGGGTCTTCCCGAGCCCCTGGAGTGCAGGAGCCCTTTAGTCTTGATGGCAGTAAATGCTGGAAACCCCACAGCCACCATCCTGTGTGTGATGGGGCTTGCGACTCCTGTTCTGTTCCTGCGCGGGGCAGGGCGTGTCTGGGAGTGTTTGGGTGACCCCTCGTGGGCCTGAGGCTTTAGCTCTGCAGGTGTTTTCTGCGGGGGTGGGGAGGGGAGAGGGAACAGCAGAGGGAGCGTGTGGGGGGTGCAGGGTGCCCGCAGCCCAGCTTAGCTCTGAGGGGTTTCTCGGGGGCTGAGAGGCTTCGGGAAGTGATCTGGACTCCGGGAAAGCGAGGTGGAAAGGCTCCATGGAGACCCCGAGGGCTGGGACAGGCCTTCTTAGTGGCGGGACCCAGACAAAGGCCCCTTTGTGGCCGAGCCCGGCTGTTGGCTGCTCTCGGCGCTGCTCAGAGAGGGAACAAGGGCCCGTCTGTGTGCAGACCCCAAGGCCATGCCCTGTGTGCGTGAGGGTCTTCGGGATGGGCACCCTCCCCCGCCTTGCAAAGCCCCTCCACCACTCCCCGGGGTGTGGGACTGGACGTGTTGGGTCCCAGGCTGGACCCTGACCCCGAGAGCCCTCCACACTGACCGGTCACACTGCCTGGTCCTTGTTGGAGGTGCAGAGATCTGAAATCAGGAGGGGACTAGAGCTGGGGGGAGCAGGACTGGGAGGGGTGGCGGGGCTGGGGGAGCAGGGCTGAGGAAGGGGCGGGGAGGAAGGAGCAGGGCTTGGCTTGGGTCACCACCCCGGGAGCAACAGCTCTGGGACTCAGGGCACGTGAAGTTCCATGGTAAGGGCCCCACCCAGTGACTCTTGTCACCTGAGATGCCATGAGCGTGTCCAACACACACATGTGTGCACACACGTGCACACGTGCACACACATTCATATACTCACATTCACACACGCACACACATTCACATGTGCACACATTCACACATGCACACATTCACAAACATGCACACATTCTTACACGTGCACACGTGTACACTTTCACACACATACACACGTTCACGTGTACATTTACACACATTCACACATGTGCACACATTCACACATTTATATACATGCACACATATCCACACTCACATTTACACCCTTTCAGTCACACGCACATTCACACACTCACACATAGAATCACACACACTCTCACATGTGCACACATTCATATATACACACATTCATACATGTGCACATATATTCACTCATGCACACACATATACACTCTCATACATTCACACACACATACATTCACCCACCTGCACATAGTTACAGGCATGCATACATTCACACACATTCACATATGCACATACTTCACACATATGCGCACATTCTCATACACACACATTCACACTGACACATTCATACACTTCACACGTTTACACACTCCCACACACAACATTCACATACTCACATTTCCACATACTTTCATTCTCACACATTCACACACATGTACTCATACATGCATGTACTCATACACACAACACTCACCTAGGTACATACACATGCTCACACATTCATGTCCACACAATGCTCATATTCACACACAGCACACACATGTACCTTACACACACATGCTCACACAGCACACACATGTACCCTCTGCACTCACATTCACACACAGGCACACATGTGTTCATGCACCACATGCTTACTCCCAGCAGCACCCGCACTGACTCATACACACACTTAGCCTGACACACCCGTCCAGGCTCGCACACACGCACACACACACTTCCTCAGGACCCTGTGCGTGCACCAGGTGGAGCAGGGCCCTTGCACATGCACTGTGCACCCAGACGCTGCCCGCAGCCTTGCTGGGCGCAGAGCTCTGGCTCCATCGGTCTCCTGAGGGCCGCGGGGCAGGGGTGCCGCCTGGCTGCAACCTGACGTCCATCCATGCAGGTTCTTCTCGGAGTTGGAGGCCCGGCACGGCGGCGGCCCCGGGGTCGACGACATCAGCGACATCGTGGAGAAGCATGCAGCGTCCGCCTTCGAGCCCTACGTGCGCTACTGCAGCAACGAGGTGTACCAGCAGCGCACGCTGCAGCGGCTGCTGTGAGGGCCGGGCTGAGGGGCCGGGGGGCCCAGAGCCAGAGCAGGACGCGGGTGGGGGCCGGTCTGAGCCGCCCGTCTCCTCAGGGACACCAACGCCCCGTTCAGGGAAGCGCTGTCCCGCATTGAGGCCCACGAGGACTGCCGGAACCTGCCCATCATCTCCTTCCTCATCCTGCCCATGCAGAGGGTCACCCGGCTGCCACTGCTCATGGACGTGAGTGAGGGCCGCCCCGACGGCCAGCGCTGCCCCCTCCCGGCCCCCGATGGCCAGCACTGCCGCCCCGCACCACCAACGCTGCCCCCCACCAGCCTCCAATAGCCAGCGCTGGCCCATCCCCTGCTCCTGGGGCCCCAACTGTCCCTGCTGCCCCCCTGCCCCTGAGGTCCCCTTGGGCTGGCACCAGGACGGCCACTGCTCACCCTTGTTTGCCAGGGGCCTCGTGGCTTCCAGGTGTCTAGGGCTGTGAGCTGCGCTGGACGAGTGAGGCTCTGGCCTGTTCCCAGAGGGGCAGCTCCTCAAACCTGTGCTCACGGCATGGGGAGGGGGCGGCAACTCGGGCCTGGGCTGGAGGGAGAGAAGGGGCAGCGGGCTGACTCTCCGCTTCTCCTGGCTGCGGCACTGGCCTGTCTGTCCCCATGAACGTGACCGTGCCCTCTCAGGGCTGAGGGTGGACCTTCATGACCTTCACGCGTGGAGGGGGAAGGCCTTGTCCAGGGCGGCAGGTCCAGGTCCCCCCACCCCTGGCCGCCCCTGCTACCCCCACCCCCCACTTTCACAAGGCGGCTCCCCGCGCCTGGGCCCCCTGCCCTGGCCGCACTTGACCTTGGCATGTCCTGGCCACCAGGAGCAGACAGCTGGGTGGGCTGGGGCGGCAGGGGTCCGACTGCCTCCCCCTGAGGCGGCCTGACTGCTCTGCTCCTCCACAGACAATCTGCCAGAAGACCCCCCGGGACTCCCCCAAGTACGACGTGTGCAAGCGGGCCCTGAGGGAGGCCAGCAAGGTGGGTGCCCGCTCCGCCCTGACCACCCCTGTCCTCTCCTCTCTCCTCTCCCCTCTCCCTCCCTTTCTTCTCCCTCTCTTTCTCCCTCTCTTCCTCACTCCCTCTCTTCCTCTCCCACTCTTTGAGAGAGTCCCTCTCTGTCTCTGTCTCTCTGTCTGTCTCTCTGTCTCTGTCTCTCTCTGTCTCTCTCTACCCCCCTTGTTGAGAACATGGGGAGATGAGTGCGCCTTCTAAAGGGGCGTGAGGACCCCTGTAGTGTTCGGCCCCTGAAGCATGAGCGGGGGCGGGGGGGGGGGGGGGACGAGGACGACACTCGCCTAGTGGACCCGAGGGCAGGAAGGGTTTGGGGGCTGGGACTGAGCTGACAGAATGTCCCTCGCATGGCTGAGAGGCCAGTGAGGGGTGTGGGGGACCCTCAGTGACCATCGCCCCATCAGGGAGCAGAGTGCAGGGTCTCGCCCCATCCTGATCCTGGGCACCCAGCAGCCGCATCCCTGCTGGGCTCAAGCGTGGATTCGGGCAGCGGCACCTGCTGTTTGCTAGGCCCGGGGGCCTGTCCTGGGCTCTCTGTGGTCCCTCCTCCCCCTGGGCTGTACCCGTGGGACACAGGGGCTGTCCCGAGTGGGTACCTGGCTCTCTCGACTTGCCTCGTCTGCCCATCCCCAGCTCGTCCGCTTGTGCAATGAGGGTGCCCGGAAGATGGAGCGCACAGAGCTGCTGTGTACCATCAACTCTCAGCTGGAGTTCAGGGTCAAGGTGACACCCAGCTCCTGAGTGGGTGGGTGGGTGGGTGGGGCGTCCAGGGCCTGAAAAGAGTTCACCTTCCAGAGAAGGGCTGAGGAGTCAGGTGCGTGGTGGGGTGGGGTATGTCCTGGAGTCGAGGAGAGAATGCACGGGGGTCGGTGCAGGGACCCCCATCGCCTGCCCCTGCCCCTCTTGTGGCTGCTGAGCTGCAGGGAGAGCCCTGGGGGCAGGGCAGGGCCGTGGGGGACACTAGGGGCCGTGGGGGACGGGGGAAACTCCGCGCTCACCCCCATGCCACAGCCCTTCCCGCTGGTATCGGCGTCCCGCTGGCTGGTGAAGCGCGGCGAGCTGACGGCCTTCGCCGAGGATGCGGGGCTGTTTTCCAGGAGGCCCTGCCGGCACCACGTCTACTTTTTCCTCTTCAACGACGTGCTCCTCATCACCAAGAGGAAGAGGTGAGTCCCGGGGCACACGGCAGCTGCCACCGCCCACTGACCCCACAACGCACCCCAGACGCGGGGAGCCCCTGCCCCCGGCCTGCGACCTGCTGAGACCCGCCCCTGGCCCCGTCTCCTCTTCGTGTCCTCAGGGAGGGTGGCCGTGGCAGCGGAAGGTCGAAGGCCGTGGCTCTGGCCCCTCTCTCCGGCCCCCACGTCCCCCTGACCGCGCCGCCCCTCCCCCAGTGACGAGAGCTACGTGGTCACCGACTACTCCCTGCGGGACCAGCTGCTGGTGGGCTGCTGCGACGGCGAGGAACCAGCCGTGTCCCCCGGTCGGGGCAGCCCTGCGGCCCTGCACGCCAGACTGGGGGCCGCCGGCCGACTTTTCACGCTCACGGCACTGAGCAACCACGCAGGCGAACGGGTGCAGCTGCTGCTGGGCGCCGACACGCAGTGAGTGTGGGCCGGGCGTGGGAGCTGGTGCCACAGACACCGCGTGCTTGTGTGTGAGAGAGTACGTGGCTGTGAGTGTGTGTGTGTGCTTGCATGTCATACATGAGAGAGTGTAGGACTGTGGGAGGGGGGTGCGTGTGTTTATTTACATGTGTGAGAGAGTGTGTGACTGTGGGTATGTATTTACATGTGTGAGAGTGTCTGGGTGTGTATTTACATGTGTAAGAGAGCGTGTGACTGTGGGGGAGGGTGTGAGCGTGAGAGATCGTGTGTGTTTGAGAGTGTGTGTGTGTGTGAGTGTGAGAGTATGTGAGTGTGGGGAAGCCGCTGAACCGCTAGTAGACTGTGCACTGCCAGGACTGAGTGGACAGCGGGTGCTTCCTGAGTGTGTCAGAGGTCACCAACTACTCTAGAAGCCACAGCGACTGTTGTGAGACTCTGGGGGTCTCCTCCATCTGTCTGCGCTTCAGCCGTGGTGAGCATTTGGGAACAGTCTGAAACAACGTCCCAGGATTTCTTTCTCAGCGAGGTGCATATCGGTGTTTTATTTGTCCGAAGAGGAAGGCACCTTAAAATAGGCTAAGACCCTCCGTAGGACAGTGCTCAGGGCCTGAGACCGGGCTGTGCCTTCAGGCACCCTGGGAGTGACTCAGAAAACAAAGTCCAGTTTCTCACTTGGGGTCAGTGGTTGAGGGTGAGGGACAGACTCACTGGCTTTGTCCATGGAGGATTGTTAGAGACAGCAACACTCTGACCCTCGATTCATGAGATCCGGCTTGTCATCCCCACCACACACACGCACGCACACAGTCACACACACTCTCTCACAGATACTACACACTCACACAAGCATACACACTCACGCACACACATATACACGCACACATGTACACACACAGTCACACACACTCACAAATACTACACATACAAACACATATGCACTCATGCACACACACATGTACACACACGCAAACATACATGCACACACGCACATACATATATGCACACATGTACACACACAGTCACACACAAATACTACACACACACTCACACTCACACACACATACACACTCTCTCAGAGCCAGACAGGGCCTTCCCCTGCTCTCCTGACAGTGCCCAGGATGAAGCCCCTCCCTGGGTTGTGTCTGTCCGGGTCCCCCTCCTGGACTCCTGGGCTGACCATGCCCCTCCCTGCCCAGGAGTGAGCGTGCCCGCTGGATCTGGGCCCTGGGGCAGAGCAGCAGGAAGCCACCCCCAGACCGGACCTGTGAGTACTGGGGACCGGAGTGCTCTGCCATTTCCTGCTGGTGCTGTGCTGGGTGGTTACAGTGGGAGCTGAGGGCTGGTGGTCGCCCTTTTCTATGCCCTGGCAGAGCCTGGAGGCTAACGCTCTGCTTCCTGGTGCCTTGGCTCTAAGCCAAGGCTTCTCGGCGGGTTCCCAGCACAGATTCCTGCCAGGAGCCTGGGTCCCCGCCCCTAGGGCCCCCAGCTCCGAGACCCCCACGGGAGCCGGTGTCACAGCTGAGTTGCAGGACGAAGTGGGCACAGAGCTGCCTGTACACCATGGGCAGGGGAGGGGCGGGGTGGGAGGTGCAGCTGCCGGGCCAGTAGTGCCTGAGCGCGGGACGGGGCCCTGCGGCCGTCCACTCCCAGAACCATTGCTGCCTGTCACGGCCCTCCCGCCCCCACCCCCCTGCACCCACCCCCCCGGACTCCACCCCTGCTCCCGCACCTCTTGCACCCCATGCCCCTCTCTTGCACCCCACACCCTCCTCCACCCCATCTCCCTGCACCCCCACATCTCCCTGCATCCCCGAACACACGGCTGCTCTTGCAGCACTGCCCAGGCTCACACACCAGAATCCTAACGGGCTCTGGATAAAGAGCAAAACTCCCACTGCCCCCAGGGCTGACCAGAACCTGGGCCGGGCAGTGGGTGGCTTTGGTGGCCGCGCCCTCTGTGGTCCAGGTTCATGCGCGTCTCCTGCAGCGCTGACCCAGGTGGAGATCGTCCGCTCCTTCACAGCCAAGCAGCCCGACGAGCTGTCCCTGCAGGTGGCAGACGTGGTCCTCGTCCACCAGCAAGTGGGCGATGGTGAGTTTCAGGGAAGGTCCCAGGTAGCCACAGACCACACTCCCCTCTGCGCTCCCCCTGCACCCCTGCTGCACTGCCTCCAAGTGGGGGCCGGACACAGTTCTTGCTCCAGAGATGCTCCACTGTCCTTCCCAGTGCTCAGGAGAAGCCTCATCTCTGGAGAGGTGCACGTGCACACGTGGCATACATGCACACACAGACACAAGTGCGGTGCATACGCGTGTATAGGAGGACACACAAGCAAACACAGGCATGCACATAGGGCACAGAGTACACACACGCATGTGGGACATGGTGCACATAAGCACTCAGTATACACATGCATGCAGCATATATGAAAACAGTGCACACAGCGTACACAAGCACGTGGGCATATAGGGGCACTCACATGTACACACAGTATACACAAGTTTGTGGTGTACACAAGCAGTGGACACATATGTCCTTGCACAGTGCACACACCTGCCCCTCCCACTGAGTTGCTGGCCCACACCCAGGGTCCGAAGTCCAGGCAGGCCCTGACCCCCCTTGTCTTCCTGGCTCCCAGTGCCCATGTCTCCCTCACTCTGGGCCAGCCCCACCCTCACTGCTCCCAGGCCTTGGTCCTCACAAGTTCCCCCCGCCCCACAGGCTGGTATGAGGGGGAGAGGCTGCGTGACGCGGAGCGGGGCTGGTTCCCCATGGAGTGTGCCCAGGAGATCACCTGCCGGGCGACCATTGACAAGAACGTGGAGCGGATGGGGCGGCTGCTGGCGCTGGAGACCCACGTGTAGCCTCACGCGCTCACCGTCCACCTCCAGTGGGGCCTGGGGTCCTTGCTGACCACAGCACAGAACTGCCGGTCTGGTGGCCCTTGGCGCGTCCTGTGACCCAGAGGCGAGGCGAGGCTGCCGGTCTGTGTGTCACTGCCCAGGTCGCCCCCAGAGGCCCGCTCAGCAGGCACGCACGGTGTGGCTGCGTCCCCGTCTGCACACAGCCAGAAGGGGCCGTCAGTGGCTCCCTACAGTGGGGCCGTCCTGGTGTCACCCCTGACCCATGACCCCCGAGGGATTGCGGGCAGTCAAGAGTGAGGTGCTGTGGCCACACGGAGGAGGTGGACAGGGTGGCAGTTGCCTGGGTCACCACCGACCCAGTTGGAACTGGAGCGCAGCCCTGGTCCTGCCCATGAGTCTGTGTGGAGTGATGGGCCCGGGGTATCTGCACGCCGGGACCCCCTCAGCTGGGACTGGAGTCCAAGCACCCGGCCTGCCCAATGGTCACCTCCGGGCCCGACGTGGACACGAGGTCACGTGCTGCCCAAACGCTCATGCACTTTCGGCGGAAGACTTTATAAAGTGTTTGTACAGACGTGCTGCTTGTGGCTCCGTTCTGTGGTCCTGGGTGCCTTGAGAGCTGGTTGCGGGGGCCTTTCCTGGACTCGAGCTGCCTCTCCAGGGCCTCGTGGCTGTCCCTGAGCTGTCCAGCCCCTGGGAGCAGTGGAGTGCGGCCCCTGCTGGCGTGGGAGGGGCACTGTCGGAAGGAGCCATGTGGTCTCCAGGGCCAGGAGGCTGGGAGACCTTTGAGCAGTGCCCGACTGTAGCAGCCCCGGCTGAGGCGTGACACCCTGAGTCTGAAGGGAGTCTGACTGCACACGCCCACACATGTGGTGACTCCTGTGATGAGGCAGTGGCCCTCCCCGAAGGGGTCTTGCAGGGCCCCTCTCCCAGAGCCCGGGACTGTGACCAGAAAAGGCACCAGTGGCAGAAACATCACCTGAAGCTGAGCCCAAGACCTGGACTCTGCCTTGTCTCACAGGAAGTGGGACCAGGGCTGTACCCACAGGGAAGGGCGCCAGGGAGCAGCAGAGACTGTACTAGGCAGAGAATGGGACAGAGCAGCAGGGAACGGGATGCAGGGTCAGGGAATGGGACACGGTGTCAGGGGAGGGGACTGAGGGTCAGGGGACTGGATAGGGGGTCAGAGAATGGGACGTGGGGTCAAGAAATGGGATCGAGGGTCAAGGAACGGGACTCAGGGCCAGGGAACGGCACAGACCTCAGGGAATGGGATAGATGTTCAGGGATGGGTTGGGGAATGGGACAGGGGGTCGGGGAACAGGATGAAGGGTCAGGGAAGGAGACAGGAATCAGGGAACAGCTCATGGTCGCTCATTGGGCATTTCAGAGCTGGTGTCAAACGTGGCCATGGCTGCAGCTCGAGCTGTGCAGACCCCGCACCTCAGGCCCTACACACAGGCTGCCGTTTCCCAGGAGGATGTCCAGAGCAGAGCCCCAAGAGGCGCCTGCCCGTGGCGAGGGCACGGGGGAGGACTGGGATAGGCGGTGCTTCCACAGGGTATTCAAGACCCAGATGCCTCTTGTCGTGCATCTCCCAGAACTCAGCTCACAGATGACCGTGGCCAACTGGGCCCCAGGGGAACCCCTGGTGCCCAGTGAATGGTAGGGCTAATGCCCTCACAGATCCCAGGGAGGAAGGCGCTCAGGGAAGTGAGTCGAGTGGAGAAGTCCAGATGATTTTGTGCCTGTCAGGGCCTGGAAGCGTGGAGAGGGCCACGCGGCAGGTGCCCGCCGCACGAAGCCAACAGCAGAGAGGAAAAAGGCTGGGCAAGAGGCAGCGCCCCCTTGTGGCCAAGCGAGAGCCAGCGCTGCAGGAAGCAGGGCCCAGGAGGGACCTAGGTTTGACCAAGGCTGGAACCAGGACACTGGCCACAGTGGGCCACAGCAACGGCAGACGGACAGACAGACGCAGACCTCAGGTTCATCCAGGCCAGGGGACACAGTGCTAAGGACTGGGAACACGGTGCTGAGGGCCAGGGACACTGCTGTTCAGAGGGAAAGCACACATGTGCACCCGCTGTCAGGGCAGAGTCATAGAACAAATGCCTAAGAACAAGCACAGCACAAGGACACTAGACACTAGACTGCACCTCTTTTGCTTCCTCTGCAGCAAGCACTGTACAGTGAGCTCCCTGAGAAGGCCAGGAACAGGGCGCAGCCCGGGAGAGTGAACTGACACCCACCCAGCCTGCCTAGTACTCACCAGGGGGGACAAGGCCCTACAAGGTTTCCCCTGTGGCCACGAGGACGGGGGGTGGGGGGGAGGAATTTAGAGGGAGTGAATGTTCTTGGGCAAGGTTGGAGCCAGCAACTGACAGGACAAAACATGGTGGAAGGCAATGAATTATACACTTGATTTTATTATATATAAAAAAAGAAACTTAAAGCTTAAAAAATGTATGGAAATACAACAAAATAGAATAGCGACACCATGCTTTCCTTTATACGTTCCACTTCCAAGTAGTACAATGAAATCCGAGCTTTACAATTGAGTAGGAACGCTGTTCTGAGACCAGTATTCTAGAGCGAGGGTGGTCTCGCCCGTCTCCTCCACTGGCTCGGCAGGCACCTCAGCTCACACTGGGGCAGGTCTGTCCCTGCCTGGGAGAGGACGCTGGTGCCTGACTCTGAAACCTAGACCAAGAACACAATGCACCAAGAGCTTCTGCCCCAACTGACCACTGGCCCAGGCAGTGCTCCACAGGCTGTGCTCCCAGAGATGCTTGTCCAGTGCACCCAGAGGGAGCTCCAGACAGGTGAAGCGAGGCCGCTTTCTGCAGGAACCTCTTCTCAAACCCTCATTTCCCCATGGAGCCTGCAGCCTCGGCTTCTCATACGTTTCTGTTTGCTGACGTGTCCGGCCAATGGAGCCGGGGAACAGATGACCAAGACCCACCACTGAGCCCAGGGACAGCACCCACGTGACGGGAATTGAGACAGTCCCTTGAAAGCAGAGGCCTGCCGTGGGTGTGCAGGGAACTGAGGGTGTGAGCTCAGCAGGCACAAGCCCAGGCCGGCAGCACAAGCAGACGGGCCCTGGGGGTGGGCTGAGACGTGTGGCTCATTTCCTGTCACCCTCGGGCCTCGGACGAGGGTGTCATCTGGAGCAGCAGCACATCCCCTCAGTCCTGAGAATGTGCCTGAGGCAGCAGCACCCGGCAGGTGGCAAGGGGTCAGAGCGGGATGAAGGCTGGGCAAGGGCCACACCACCCGCACTGCACCATCTCTGCCAAGCAGGCAGGGAGGGCTGGGGAGGAGCAGCATTCCCGGGGGCAGCTAGGACCTGGACGCGGTGGCCAGGCTCCAGGGCTGTCTGCAGTCCGGACCCAGAGTGCGGCCGGGAAGGGCCCGAGCCAGCTGAGCTGACACGGCACGGTCCATTCAAGGCGGCTTTATTGCACCAGCCCACATCACCGTGAAGATGGGCAGGGCTCAGATCCGTGCCTGACACGCTCTCCAGCCGCTCAGTCCACCGGGATCCCTCTGGGCAGGGAGCGGGCGTCTCACAGAACGAAGGCTTCTCGAGGGACATGGCCATGTGCGTGCGAGGTCTGGCGTCTGGATGCGGCCGTGCTCAGCTGAGCCCGGGACCACCACGGGACGTGCATGTTGTGCCAAGGCAGTGCCCCGCTCACGCGCTCACTCACCACCCACGGTGCCATCTACCATGCACTCGATCCCCGCGGTCCTGCGTCCCGCCCTGGTGTCTCGCCGGACACCTGCCCTACGTCGGAGATGGCCCCGACCCCTGGGTCCGCAGACCCTGTGTGATGCCGTCAGCTGCAGTAGCCCCCGTCTTGGAAGCAGGAGGGACCGTTCCTGGGGGCCGCCTTCTCCTGGGACTTGATGAGGTCGGTGATGGCGGAGAGCACCGCACACTCCCTGGACCCTGTGTCCTTCCAGTCGACGGGGTGGGGGCTCTCGATCTTCTCCTGCAGCAGCGTGTCCAGCTCCTTCCTCAGCTCCTGCGGGAGACACGCCCCAAGGATGGGCCTGGGCAGCAGAGCAGCGACTCCTAGGCCGCAGTCAACCACGAGCAGGGCGGACAGTACAGCGGCTCTCTTCCTGGCCCCCCACACGGTCCCTCAAGCATCACCAGGTGTGGCTCAAAAACTCAAAAAACAAACCAAATCCGAATCCCACTGGACAAAGTCACAGACAGGTCTGTAACTTCAAAACAAGAAAAAAAGGAATTCAGAGAAACAACCACTCCTCAGCAGTGCTGGCTGTGTCCGACAGACAGAGAGGAGAACGGCCAGGCCGCAGCCCGCCTGCCTCGCACGGGGGTCAGGCCTGGCTCTTCCCACCGAGGGCAGCGGCGGGCCCCGCGGACTCACCTTGACGAGATGGGCGATTCTTGCCGGGGACTGGAAGACGATCCACTCGTCCACAGCAATCGTCTCCTGCTCCTTGTCCTTCTGGATGGAGATGTCGCCCCCGAAGAACAACAGGCAGTACGGGGAGACCTCCGTGCAGTCGTACAGGTAGATCTGCGGAGAGCAGCGCCCACTCAGCTGGGACCAGGGACACAGCGCCCTGCACCCGTTTCCCTTAGGAAGATGACCAGTTTCCACTGAGAGGACTTTACAGGGCCCCAGAGAGCTGACGGCCATGCTGAGCACTGAGGCGTCCCCAACACCGCCCAAGAGCACCTTGAAAGCCATCTCTAAAGGGGAACGGCCATATCATGTGTCCTGTCATAACAGGTCGGACTAGAGCACGTGACAGTGACACGTCTTGGGAAGCGCTGAGGGCTCCACTCACGCTGCTCGTCCGCATCTTCAGATGGTAGATGAGCCAGTTGTAGCGGAAGTCCGTCTGCTCCACGTTCACAGATTTGGGGTGGATGGCAACCAGCCCATCCGGCTTCGTGTACACCTTCACCCTTCAGAGTCCAAAGGAAGCTGGTTGGAATAAAATTCTGGGGGAGCAGAGACAGCCCAGGACGAGGACTGTGTTTCCTGAGCAAACAGTTAGGTTTTGCCATATAAACTGCAACTGAGTTTGAGGAAACAGCATGGAAAGTGGCAGTTAAGAATACCAGAGATGGGGCTGGAGCAATAGCACAGCGGGTAGGGCGTTTGCCTTACACGCAGCCAACATGGCCGATCCAGGTTCGATTCCCAGCATCCCATATGGTCCCCCAAACACCGCCAGGAGTAATTCCTGAGTGCATGAGCCAGGAGTAACCCCTGAGCATCGCTGGGTGTGACCCAAAAAGTAAAAAAAAAAAAAAAAAGAATACCAGAGATTGTGAGCCCTCGTGTACCACGAGGTGGCAGAAACTACAGAACAACACACTGTTCCTGAAACCACGAAGATTCAGGCAAGACGGCCACCACAGCACCAACCGGGACAGTTCCCAACGATGCTGAAGGGGAAAGCTACCAGTACCACGGCACTGACAGGACAGTCCTTGGGGCACTGACAGTCGCCATAATGCTGACAGGGACGACTAGTCAGACAGGACACCCCCAAGATGCCTACACGTTAAGGAGGATTCTGCTTCAAGGGAATTTTATTGTTTTTACTGGGGTTTGTCAATTTTTTGTGAAGGCCGGGATGGCCACTCACAGTAGAATGCGCCCTGGGGCTACACCTGCCTTGAGGGCTCTCTGCAGCGCCTGAGGGGAAAACGGCCCACTCACAGCTGATCTGGAACACACCTGGGCACACCCAAGTCCAGCCTCTCAGCCCCCCAGGTTGGTGCAACAGATGGGCAAAGCCCATGCCAGCCCTGCACTTCCCCCGCCGCAGCGCTGCACTCTACATGCCTGTCAAGCCCACCCTGGGCTGACAATTCAGTCCCCGGCACCACGTAAGGGTCCACCCAACACAGCTAATGTGGCTAAACCCTCTCCCACAAGCAGCAGCAAGTCAGGGCATGGGGTCTACCTGCCACCGCTGCACGCTCCTCTGGGCGATACGCCCCAACACGGACAACAAACTAACAGGAAAGGCACACAGTAGGTACCTTCTAGGTGTGAGACAGTAACAAGCAATGCACAAGAATCCCCAATGCTTACATTTTCCGTTTTTTACCAGAGTTTAGGCGAATCTTCGCAACTTTGGGATACAACCCAGCACAGATGACAGCTTTGATGATCTTCTCGTTATCTGTCGGGGATGAGGAGAGAGGCGGGTAAAGCGTTGATCCCGTGAGCCACCGCAAGGGCAGGCCAGGGGCCAAGTGCTCCCCCTGCACCTGAGTTGATGTTTGATTTCGGATCTTTCGGGTTCCTGCTGCTCACGAACCCAGCCCCGAGGAGATGCTCGGTGAACTGCGTCTTCATGTTGTGCAGCATCTGGAGAGAGGAGATGCCGCCTGGCATGGGGCGCAGACTGTGTGGCCCCTGCAACCTGGCCCTCGCTGACTCCTGGCCCACTCTGACCCTTGAGGGTTTCCAAATGGGCCTCCCCCCAGCAGTTCAAACAAGACCAGGGAGGGTGGTTGGAGGCTTACGCCCCAACACACAACTGTCCCAACTGCCCCCAAAGAGAGGGGCAGACCCAATGCAGCCAGGCCTCTAGGCGGCACACAGTCTGGAAGCGCCAGTGACAGGTGCCACGTGGACATGTGCCCATGTTCCAGTCAGTCGAGCGGCTGTTTCCCAGGGTGCTCTCTGCAGCACCGGCCCCGATCCCTCCCTGTCCACGGGACGCAGGGGCAGGGCTCACACACGCCACAGGGCAAGGCTGCCATCCGGCTTTGGCGCTCACACTGCCCCCTGGACCCCCTGCCCTCCCCTTTCAGCGCAGTACTCCGGCCACCCTTTGCACCCCAGTGGCTCTTCGGGCTTTGGACGGGCTTTCCTCGGCACTCCCCACGCGCGAGCCGGCCGCCCAGTCAGCAACAAGAGGCCCCGGCCATGGCTCGGCTCGTCCTCGACAGCCCCGTACCTGCAGAGTGTTGGAAGACAGGAAATACTCCCAGCAATAGTCTTTCTCGCAGCGGAAGCCCCGGCGTCTGGCTTCCTCCCAGCCCTGTGGGGACACAAATGAAGGGAAGGGTCTCACACCCATCTGCACTCGGTTGCTACCTCAGTCCCCTGCGGAAAAGACAGAGGGGTTTTCCAAAACGGGCAAACGAGAAGCGCCAAGCCCCAGGGCACCCTGCGCTGGGACAGTCACTTGTGGGAGCGCGGATCTCTCTGGCTTCTGAGCCCAACAGGCGGGGAGCTGATGTCATGGTGCGACTCTTTTCCCTCAGACCATGACAGAGAGAAGCTCCGACATGGACTGAGCCCAGAGTGTGCACAACGGCGCCACAATCTGCCCCTGCAGCCAGAGTATGGGTTCAGCACAGGGAAGAGAGACTCTTCCTCAGGCACGGCCTCTGCCCTGCGAGCCACAGCCGGGCATAGGCACGAAGGCCTCGAGACAGACCCTGCAGAGGAGCTGCCAGAATGGACACGTTCCTCGGCACCGGCCCGTCAGTCCTCCATGTCAATAGGTCCCGGGCACTGCAAGGGGGCACGCGCTGCCCTCAATTGCCCCTCCGACCCAGTATGTCTGTACCTCGAATGCGTTCACGACCGTCAGGTGGTCACTCCTGGTGTCCTTTGCCAACTCCTTCCTCCTTGCGTCTGCGACCTTCTCTTTCCCCTGTCAGACAGCGACGGTGACCCCCCGCACGATGCCAAGGGAGGCCAAGGCAGGGCTGGCCCAGACGCCCACCCCTCACCAGTGGAATGACGAAGGGGTCTTTGAAGCTGAGGCTGGCCGCGATGGTGAGGACGGGGTCCAGGCAGCAGAACAGAGCCCCGAAAAGAATCATCTTCCCGATGTGCGGCTCCACCGGCAGCCGCGCCAGGTGCACCCCGAGAGGCGTCAGCTCCTCCTGCTTGTCCAGAGCGGTCTGTGAGGGGGAAGGGCTGCGTGAACACGTGCATTCCGTCGTCTGCTAAAGGCCAAACTGGGCGAATGGCCGCTCAGCCTCATGTCCATGATGTGGCCCCGAGTTTTCAGGCAGCAGCGGCCGAACACCGGTGAGATCAGCTGACAGGGAGCTGGTGGGGAGGCAGGGGCCCAGCGCAGGCACCACGCTTGGGAGGCCAGGCCTGTGGACACGGGCAGGGATGATGCGTCCATCCCGCTGCCAACGGCTGAGTCTGTCCTGCCCACTGCTCACCAGCACCGGCCCCGCGCCTGCACTCCTGCCCTGAGCTTCCCGACTCCCCGCCCACAGGCAGGCGCCTTCGCAGGACTCAGCACATGCCTCGATGCCCACGGCTACCCACACCCTGCAGACGCCCCGCCGATGAGGCCACAGGACTCGAGACCCACGGGGACCACTGGGAAGTGGGGCACAGGCAACTGTGCGAGGAAGCCTGCCTTTCAGGGGAGGGGAGCCTGCGCTCCCAGCCTCTCCCCTTCCCTGCTTCTCACGGAAGCCCCACCTGACCCAGGGGAGCCACATCCTGGGAGAGAGCGAGAGCAAAGGGAGCCGGGTGGGCCACGGGCCACTCCCGCCACACCCTTCATGAAGGCCTTGTGGCTTCTGTAAGCTGCCCATAAATCACTCAGGATTTGACAAAGACTCTGAAAACACCCTGGCGAATGAGGGGAAAGCCCAGTTAAAGATTTCAGACTTTTATGGAATTTTCGATCAGACCTAAGAAATAGTGAATGACAATCTCAGTTGTGTGAACGTTTTTGTAATGAACTGAAGCTATTGGGGCCAGAGACATGGTATAGTACGAAGGGCACTTGCCTTTGAACCCCTGGGTGCTCAGAGGGTCCCCAAGTCCTGCCAGGAGTGAGCCCAGAACAATGCTAGGTGTGGCCCAAAATAAAAAACACCCAACCCCCCAGAAAAAAAAAGACAACCACAGACCCCTTAGAGCTGCTATAAGAATCGGTCTGTGGTAGCCAACTGAACCGTGAGTCAACTCTGGATGCAGGGCCTCCTGAACCAAGTTTACCTTGCACACTAACAGCCCATCTCACACCAAGTCCGTTGCATGATGAGCCGGCTGGCGTGCTTGAACGCTGAGTGAGAATTTTTGCGGAAAAAAAAGACTTACCAGTTCGATCAGGTGTCGTATGGAAAGTGACACTGCTTCATCTGATGGGGGGTCCATCAGCCTGCCCAGGAAGTCAGCAATGCCCCCGAGTCTCAAGATCTGGGGAGACGAAACAGTCAGGACACAGGGTCTGCCCGTCAGTCACACACAGCATTGGTCAGTTAGTCAGGCACGGTGTCAGACAGAACTAGAGCTTAACTTCTCTTATCCAAGCTCAAGCGTTGGTTCCACAAACACAAACTCCAAGGTCGCTGGGAGCAGCCCAGCAAATGCTGCTCGTTAGGAGCTCCAGCAGGCCCAGAAAGGAGCTGCCGACGCTTTCACAGGGGCCTCACCTGGCGCTAGGGCGGGACTGGTCTCCACAGCAAAGCCCCATGCCCAGGGCCCCGCCGAGGCTAAGGGATGAGCCTCGGAGGCAGCAGCACCCATGGGTCTGGGAAGAGCCGGGTCGTGGCAGAGGCGCCGCGCGGGACTGAGGCCCTTTCCCGAGGGGAGGCCTGGCGCCACAGGGAGCCCAGGCACTGCTGGAGGTCGCCCACGTGAGCTCACCTTGATCTGCAGGCAGAGCTCCTCCAGAGGGGTCCTCAGTATCTCGGGCAGCTGGTAGTCGTCCAGCAGGCTGGCTCGGAGACCGTTGTACAGGTGATAGCAGTGGCCAGGCTGGACCCTTAGGGACATCACCGAGACACGTTAGAACTCCGGAGGGAAATGTTTCTTCTCGTCAACAATACCAGCACAAATCCCTCCTGACTTCACTCCTCTCTCCCAGGTGTCTATTTCAACCCGTAGATGCTGACTGTAACACTCACTGGTCATCCATGAGCCCCAGTGCTGTAGTGTGAGGGGGACTGCCCATGTGAGCACTGGGCCCACCGGTGGTGGGGGGGGTGGGGTGGGGCTCTCAGAGTAGCCGAAACCTTCTCCAGTGCTCAGAGCTCGGGCTGCAGTGTCTCACTCGGGTCAGTGTTAGGATGGAGGTCCGAGGGCCTCCATGCCCATTCTCAGCTGACCAGGACTCGGACAGGTCCTGGTGTGCCAGCAAATGTCGCCAGGTACAACCTTCTGCTAGAGATCCCAACTGTCTGGGGGTAGAGTCGACAGCCCTGGGTGCCCGGCCCACAGCTGAGAACAGGCCCGGCCCTCAGCTGGAAAGTTTATCGGCCAGAATTCAGGTCAGAGGCCTGTATCGGGGAGCCTAACTGGCCAGGTCCCTACTCAGGCTGCCCCAACAACGACAAGAGCCCAACGACCCAGCGAGTCTGCAGTGCTGGTCATCACTATCAGGAGCACCTCAGAGTTGAACAGTACGAATCATAAGAGCAAGCAAAGCATCCTGTTCCTCTCAGCCAAGCCAACCCCATTCCTCTCAGCCAAGCCAATTAAGCTGGAGGGAGAAAATCCCTCAAGCCAGCCAGTGACAGTGTGTCCCTAAGGAACACCGCCTAACTTCCCCAAACAAACACGCTGCAGAGCCATGGCCCAGAGGCCTGAGTACAGGCTGTGCCCACAGGAGTCCTGGTTCCGACCTGGTTCTGTTGGGCTGAGAGCACTGGCAGGAGTTGTGTGCCCCCAGTGAAAGCGAGAAGGGAACCCCAGCAGGACGTTCTGAAGCTACAGGGACGTGGAGAGGAGGAGCAGCTGATGGCAGGTGTCCTGCCTCAGACCCAGGCCTGCTCACCTGCCAGCTCGGCCCTTCCTCTGCTTGGCATTGGCGTTACTGACCCACTCCGCAGACATGGTGCTGATGTTGTTCTGGGTGTCAAAGTGCGTCTCCTTTATCTTCCCGCCATCAATCACAAAGACGACATCATCTATGGTGATGCTACATGGAAACACACAGGCGTCACGATCCACACCAAGGACCACAGACTCACAGAAACACGGGCGTGATCCATGCCACAGGCCACAGAAACCCACAGGCAATGTTAAATCCAAAGGATACAGATTCTGAGCGAGTGTTGGAGCGTAGGGTTCCCTGCAGGCATGCGTGTCGCACACAGCTCTGCGGGTCTCCTGTGCTACAAGGGGGTGGGGCCTGCCTATTTCTGGACCTGGCGGCTGGGCTCCAGGACAGGCCTGTGTCAGAGGCCGGCCCAACCCCTGGAGGTGTCTGGGGACACATGGTGTCTCCTACAGGCTACAGGCAGCTGATCAGCAAAGCACCAGCCACCAGGCCAAACCGGCAAAGGCGACTGACCCTGGTCCCCAGACCCGGCTTGCTCAGCAGCACAGGCTGGGAGCACTGAGGGCTGGTGCCGTGGCTTGGCACAGGGAAGGCCTGGTCTGGTCCCAGTACACCGCCAGGAGGGTCCCTAACGTTGGGAGTCCATCCCTCCAGCCAGCGCTAACAGCAGACCATACTGCAATGTGCTAAGGAAATGCCCTGCACACAGAGACGGGACCAGGAACTGGGATCGACATTCCCTACCTGGTCTCGGCGATGTTGGTCGCAATGACAATCTTCCGAACACCAGGAGGGGTTCTTTTAAATACCTGTAAGGAAAGACACGCCCACATCCCTCTGGCACTTTCCACCAGAACTGCTTCCAAACCAGCTGGTTTCCTGCACGCACTGGCCCACACCAGGCCCGTGGAGCTCAAGGCACCGTCACTTATGACGTTCCCTTCCTAACCCAAGGAAACCGCTCAGATGCCAGAACCTTCTAACATGCGTCCAAGTAAGAGGATCACTGAATTTATGGGATGTTTTAGACAAAAACTGGAGGCAGAGTTGAGGGAAATAAGCTGGAAGATAAAGACCACAAGCCCCCAGGAACTGCAGTGCAGCCTCTCCACCTTTGTTTGACCTGGTTCCTTCCTGGCACCCTGCCCTATCCCTGGGCCCCTAGTCTTCTGCCAAGACCCCCCCATTTACACAAGTTTCACCTGTATCCTGGGGCCCAGATGAAATGTGAAACCGAGGGTACCAGGTACCTGCAGGCGCCCACCACACCAGAGCTGCCAGCTGGCTGCCCATAGTCATAAGCCCTGGCTCTGGCACACAGCACCACTGTGCCAGCACTAGTGCCATGAGGTCTTATGCCAATGGGTGGTACCTGCTGCTCCTCCCACCCTAAGAAATGTGGCTGTCAACAGGGCGCCCGGCTCCTGCCAGCCGTGTTCTGAAGCACCCAGCTCCTGCTGGCTGTGTTCTAAAGTTTATCCCCAACCCCAAGCAAGTCATTGGTGAAGCCACTTTATTTTTTACTTTTTGGATCACACCTGGCGATGCACAGGGGGTTCCTCCTGGCTCTGCACTCAGGAATTACTCCTGGCGGTGGTCGGCCCTGGGTCGGCCATGTGCAAGGCATATGCCCTAGCCACTGTGCTATCGCGCCAGCCCCTGGTGAAGCCACCTGAGCATCATGCTGACAGAACTCATCTGATGTGAAGGTCAACCTGTCCCTGGAGCACAGGCCTGCCCTGGAGAAGCGCCTGCTGAGGCTCTCAGAGACATACTGTCTGGAACTAGGTGAATGCAGCAGCTCTGAAGGCGTGTGTCAGACAAGAGCAAGAACGCACACCTACCTGGGTCTGGTTCACGGTGGGCATCAGTGAATGCAAAGGGATAATCAGAAACCTGTCTGAAAAGCAGAAACAGAGAAGCCTTAAGATGGACTCTTGCGCGCTCTCTCGCTCTCTCTCTCACATACACACACACACACCACGAGAGGAGAGTCCCAAATCCCTTCAGTCTCCCTTTCATGCCCACAGGGAAGCTCGCAGAGACCCTCCTCCCTCAGCAGCCTCTGAGATGACGAGCTTTGTTTCTCACTGCCCACCGTGAGACAGGGAGGGCGCTCTTCATGACTGCGTCTCCGTCACACCATGTCCCTCCCCCGTGCCAGGTCGGTGCTGCTCCTCAGCCCTCTCCCAGGTCTCCCAGAGGGCAAGCCTTTTGACTACGGCCAACAGTCTGCCCTCCTGCTGCCTTCTCAGCTAGGTCTCCACTCAGTAGAAACACAATGACGTCAGGGGAGGAGCTGCCATTGCACGGCTTCCAGGTATCCTCCTCTCAGGAGGACCCTGTATCCAGAGAACGTGCGCTGCAAGCAGAGGAAGCAGTCCCCAGGATGGGGAAGGCAGTGTCCCAAGACAGAAGCCAGGCCTTACAAGACTGCCTGGTGCCTCTCCCCAAGGGGACTGAGCAAGTCAGACCTTTGCTACTGCAGCGGGCAATCCTAGCAAGTCTCTGGCTTTCGAGGAACGGGGATTCCAGCTTGGCGAGAGCTGCTCTCACCTGCACTGCTCTGAGGGTGCAGGCGTCTGTGTGCCGAGGAGATCTGCACAGTGCAGCCCTGGCTTCAGCTCCTCTCCAGCCCCTGGACCCGGCAGTGCTGGAGAAGCACCAGCCCATGCCCGCAGCCCCCCGCCAGGCCTCAGCGGGATCAGGGCCCACAACCCGGGCTGACCCTCCCCATGTCCACGCACAGGGAGTCCGGACCCTGCAGCATCCTTCAGGCGCGAAGGAAGCTTCCCCCTTTGACCCCAGCCCTGCTGCCGAGACCTCGGTGAGGCTCCTGTCCAGGTTACCTGACTTAAACATCACTTGGGACATCAAGAGGTCGTGTAAAGTGCTAATATTGTCCCAGCCAGGCAGGAAGACAAGCACGGCACCATCCTGTGGGGAAACAGCCGTCAGCAAGGCCCTCAGCCCAGTCCCCACGTCACAGGCAGGCACGGAGCAGCAGCCACTGATCCTAACTAGAAACGGGACTTAGTTTCTTTCTCTCTTGCTTTGGACAGTGCCCAGGGCTTGCCCTTGACGGCACCCGAGGGATCACATGTGGCATGGGGAGAAAACCCAGGTAGGTCGTGTGCAAGAGCCATACTGAGAACTTGCTCTAGCCTTGTCTTGCAATAGGTCACATGCCTACGTATTCTGATAGACGGAGATCCTGACTTCTTGTGTCAGAAAGTACCTTCTCCCATAGGCTATTTCAAACATCTAATAAAGCTGTTTTCCATTTTCCTAGACACGGAAACCCCGACGGTGCCCTGAGGCCCAGCTAACCTCCTCCTTCAGAGCGATGTGCCGGATGAGGGCGGCAATCAGGTTCAGGTCCACTTTATCGTCGTCTGCCATCTCGAGCGCTTCGATAGTGCTGGGAGAATACCTGTGCGGACGTGGCCGGTAAGTGCACAGCCCGAGCCCTGCCTCGCTCTGCAGCTAGGGCACCACGACCAAGCTCGGAGACCAGAGTACGCGGCTGGAACTCGAGGATTTCACCTCCGACTCGCCATAGGATTTTGGATGTGACTCTTACTACATAAATGTTTTTAAGACTGGACTGGTCTTAAATCACTTGTTACTGGATGTCCCGGGAGCCCACGGGAAACGAAGCTGTCCGAGTCCCACATGTCATTGTTCATGACAGTCCCGGGAGCTTCCTGGGCCCAGACAACAGCGAGCACGGGCTGTGCTCTGAGCTTCGAGGAGCACTCGACGCGGGGCAGTGCCACAGGACTCACTTCTTCCGCAGCTGCTGCAGGTAGCCAGGCCAGCGCTCCCGGTACAGGGCCTCCTTCTCCTCCTTGTCCTGCCGGTGGGAGCGCCCTTGCATGAAGCCCCTCTTAAACTGGGATCTGTGCTCCCTCTGCTCGGGGACGTATCTGAAATGCAAACACCATTCAACAGCGTGACTCCTGGGAAACTCTTCTGAGGCCCTGGAGCGTGAGTACTTTGAAACGCAAGAGCAGTGCAATGAGCATGGAGAGAGAGATGACGGGGCCTAGGACCGATGCCCCTGCACCCAGGTCCAGACCTGATGTCGGTGCCCAGTGTGCTCAGAGAAAGGCAGACGGGGTCACTGAGGTAGCAAGAATGAACACAGACCTGCCTGGCCACTGCCAACTGCTAGCCTGCTCCCGGGCCTAAATGATCCCCTCAAAGGGCGGACAGTGCACCCCAGGAGCAGACAGTGGGCAGAGCCTGCACACAAGAGCTGCACAGGAAGCCGTGGGGGGCTGGGGCCGCCCAGGAAAGCGTGGGCATGGACAAGCTGCAGGACTATTCAGAGACGTGGGACTCCGTCTGACTGGTTTCAAGCCACATCACTGGCACTGGGAAGGCTGGGGTGACTGTCACTCATCACATCTCCAAAGCAGGTCCCTTCCATACTACTCCTGAGTCTGCCCCGAGCTACCCAGGAGGGGGTCTGTGTGGACAGTTACAGGCCCCTTCTATAATCTGTCCACGCAGATGTGATGCCCTCAGCCAGAGCCGGTTCCTGGGATGCCAGCCAGGATCCCAGACGGGCACCCCAAAGACGAGCAGCTACTCAGTCAGACCGGGAGAGGCAGGCGGGGGTTCTGCCTGCTGCAACACGCTAGTACAGCACTGGAGCAGCACTGGATGCCGAGCCCCCGGCCCCACTGGGCTTACTGGTGTGGGAGCCCACTGAGTCCAGCCACATGCTGCCCGCACCTGCCCCAGGCCAGGATGTCTGACGGATTCGAGAGGAGTTTGTGTTCAGCCATGCCCTGCTCTGCAGGGTCGTGAGCCTCGAGCCCGCATTTCAGACCTCGCCACTCCCGGCAGTGCATGCTCCAGCGCGCCCTCCTCGAGCAGTGTGAGTGACACCTCGGGGCACTCAAACACCCGCTGACCCTGGCCACTGCTGAGGCGGGTGCCTGCAGGGTAGGGCCCTGACCCAATCCTGCACCAGGAAGCATCAGTCCCTGCAGGAGACCCCGCAATAGAATCTGGGTACTCGCAGGGGCCTCGGCTCCCCCAGCCAGAACCTGCAGCCCCGAGCCACACTGCCCACCCTGCCCCGTGACACGGGCTGCCCAGCGGTGTCCCACCCCCAGAGTCCCACAGACCCTCGGACAGACGGGAGCAGGCAGGGTAGACCCAGGGTCCTTGCCCAGCACCGCGGTCCTCAGTGGAGACGTTCGTTCTCCGGCAGTGCTCACGGTCACCCGAGCACAGGGCCGGGGCCGCCCTCACTGCCTGCACCCACGCACCTGTCTTCACACGCACAAACCTGGGAAGGGGGCAGGGGACGGCAGAGTAGACCCTCCTGGTAAATCCACACCCAGGAGCCGTGGCCTGCACACGAGCTAGAAGGATGGGGACGGGTCAATGTGCTAGAGGGGTGGACGGATGCTTGAAGCCATGGGACGAGCAGAGCTGCCATCCCCCAGAGCTCACGGCCAGGAAGGGACACACACAATGGCGCAGGCCTGGCAAACCTGGGGCCTCCTGGGGGAGAGAGCCTGGCTATGGCTCACAGCACAGCGGGAGCCACAACACGGGACCTCAGACAACAGCTCAGCAGGAGGCGAGCTCCAAGCTTCCTCTCTCTCCCACAGCTCCTCACCTTATCATCTCAATGACGTCCTCCAGAAGATACTCCACCACCGGGAAGGTGAACCCAGGGATGTGGATCATTGGACAGTGGCCTGTGGTGCAGAGAACAGGGAGGCCACCCCTGAGCGGAAGGCTGCCAGGGTGGCTGACTGACCCCCGGGCGCACCCTCCACGTCCCCGCCCCCGGAGTCCCCTCACCAAAATACTCTGAGAACTTCTCGGCGTTCAGCGTTGCGCTCATGAGGACGACCTTCATGTCAGGCCGGACTCCGAGCAGGTCCTTGATGACCGTCATCAGAACATCGGACTGCAGGTTCCGCTCGTGGATCTCATCCAGCACCACATGGCTGACGCTGGCCAGCCGCCTGAGGGGGCCCGGCGCATCAGCACTGCCCCCGCCAGCCCACCCGCACCCCCCCGGCAGGAACCCAGGCCTCACGGGTCTGACTGGAGCCACTGCAGGATGATCCCCGTCGTGCAGTACAGGATGGACCCTTGCTTCCGGGGCAGCCGACTGCAAGGACACGGGGACAATGAGCTCAGAAAGGGACAGAACTCTGCTCCCAGGATCACCTCCCATCTCCAGGGACAGAGCCTCAGAAACACGACTCCACAGGAAGGAAGGCTGAGGCTTCCTGCTGTTGCTGCCTCGGATGGGGGCTCAGCCAGCAGGGCTCCTGCATGGGCCCAGGAGCAAACGCTGGCTCTCGAGTTCCCTTCCCGCACACTGACAACAGGGACAGGCGGGCACAGACTCAGGGAAGGGGAATGTGCTTTGGGGCCACTCTGTCACTCACTGCCTCACAGAAACACAGGCTGAGGACACGACGGGCAGTGGGCCGGGAAGTCCAGAGCCGCCCCTCACCTCTGCAGGCGGATCTGGTAGCCCGTGCTGCAGCCTCCTCCACAGGACTCCGCGCGTTCTGCAGCCACCCGCTCAGCAACCTGGGGCAGAACCCAGAGTCAACTCAGGGCTCAATTCCTCGATGGAGACACCCTCCCCAACACGACCTAAACGCACGGGAATCCTGGAACACCACTTCGTCACCTCCCCACCACACACACACACACACACACACACACACACACGCACACACACACACACGCACACACGCACACACACACACACACACACACGTAAAGGGGCCCCCTGAGCACCAGCTGAGGGAGCCGGGCTCCTACTTGCTTCGTGGTTGCTCCCCGGCCGCAGAGCCCCCTGGAGGCCAAGTCCCCGTCGGAATCGGCAAAGCACCTTTCCCTAACTTTCTTCCGTTAGTCTGTACCATCTGCCTTGTCCGTGAGGAGAAAGCCACGGTCCACACTTTCTACGCTCAGCTTCATCACGCACTTTTAAATTTCAGCTTTTTAAGGGGAACCTCCCCAGGGGTGCCTGAGGCCTGGGATTCAGTGTTTAGGGGGGAACTGAGTACCAGGGTGACACTCGGAGCTCCCACTATGCATGTGATCTGACATGAAAACATATTCTGACCTGTGTGCTGCTTGGGCCAGAGACCAGGTCACCGACTACCAGGCAGAAGCGAGGCAGCTCCCATATGCTGGCCGGACGTGTGCACAGCACCAACACCACCCGTACCCGCCACCATCCCCTGCCCACCACCCCATGCCCCACACCCCACAAAGCAGCCTGTGCTTGGCCCTGGCCGCAGAGGAGTAGAGGTGAGGTGGGAGATGGGAGTCACTAGCCTTGAGGGAGCAGTTCTTGGGAATCAAATTCTCCCATCCACAGATCTAGAACTCACTGAGGAGCATTTGTACTACTTATTAAGCTACCCATTTAAATTCCAACAGATCTCAGAAAACCAAGCAGAAATAAATGCTGGTCGGCAGTCTTCCTGTTGTCAATATATCACTCGCTGCCCTGTGAAAACATGAAATCCTAATACACCTTAGCCGATACACTGTGTTATAGTCAAAGTATTTTTCACAGTTCCTAAGAAATCCCAAAACACTGTTAGAAATGACGGAGTCCCTGATCAGATCCTGTCTTATATGAGTCAGAGATGTGACAGAATATCACAAAACCAAACACAATCGTCAGTGATTTTAACGTCAACTTACATAATGCAGAAATCGCCTATGTACACAAGGGTTTAGAAGGTAATGCGGTTGGGTGACTTGTATGTTTAGGTTACCTAACTGAAAGGGAAATGTTGTCTGCAAGAACATGTTCCCTGAACGGCTAACGATAAACTTAAATCAATGCCTCTTTTTCATGAAAAATACCCTTACTGAAGCGCTTCACTAAAAGTAATCAGAGATTTTACTGCAAGATACACAGTAGAGCACAAAGGGCACCGGCCTGATGCTCAGCTGACCTAGGGCCAATCCTTGGGCAGTCCTTGTGCCCCCCATCCCCTAAAACATCAGAGATGCAGCACGGCCCCTGACCACCAGTGAGCAAACAAGCCCCAGCTCTGAATATTCAGTGAGGGGGAGGCTCAAGTCACTGGGTAAAGGGGATCATTTAGCTTATGACCAACAGTAAAAGGGGAGGACGCTTGCCTTGCATGTGGCTGACCCAAGTTCAATCCGAGCACCCCAGCGGGGCCTCCAAGCACACCAGAGGTGATCCCTGAGCACAAAGCCAGGAGTCAGCCGACTGGGTATGGCCCCCAAACCAATAAGCAGAAGTTGGTCGTTCTCCTTTGAGTGTCTCTTGGATCGCCGACCTCTCTCCTCGGAGGTCACGAGGCCTGAGACTCTTCTCAGGCAGGTACTCACTGAGATGGCGCTGATCCTCCGGGGCTGAGTGCACACGATGCGGCACGCAGACCCCTTCCCTCGCTCGATGTAGTCGTCCAAGATGAACTGGGTGACCTGAGTGGTCTTGCCACAACCAGTCTCGCCACTTATCACGGTGACCTGGTGGCCATTGATCATTTCCACCAGCTCCTGTTTCAGAGAAAGAAGAGGCAGGACGCTGCTGACCCGGGCGAGCGCGCACTTCCCCAGACACACAGAGCCACCAACAAGCATCCCACGGCCCTGAGCTCCTCCGCACACCCCAGCAGACTGCACGCAGCCCCACAGCATGGAAGAACAGGCACGCTCAGGTGCGGGTCGAGAAGAGACAGAGACTCGTTCCACAGGAATGGTGGCTTGGGCTTCCGGCAGACCAGCCGGTCCCCAAATGCCCATACAGCTCCCGGGGCCCTTATGGACCGACACGACAACCCAGAATCCGGTTCTGCCTGCAGAACAGTCTGATGCTCTGTCTAGGAGAGAGTGCTAGGCCAGCTGACCTGAGTTTCATCCCTGGAACCCTATATGGCCCCAAGGCCCTCAGGGAGTGATCTTCTCTTGGAGCATAGAGCCAGGAGTAAACCCTGGGCATGGCCAGAGAAGGAAGAGTATCATTACGTCACCATTTCCTTTTAAATCACTGCAACATTTTAACTCAAATGACTGAACTTCAAAGACATCTGACACTTCTTTGTGAAATTGGTCTTCGACTCTCAAAAACTAATATTTATAATATTAATATTTACCATGGGGTGGAGCGATAGCACAGTGGGTAGAGCATTTGCTTTGCACGCAGCCGACCCAGGTTCGATTCCTCCATCCCTCTTGGAGAGCCCGGCAAGCTACCAAGAGTATCCCACCCCCACAGCAGAGCCTGGCGAGCTCCCTGTGGCGTATTTGATATGCCAAAATAGTAACAAGTCTCACAATGGAGACATTACTGGTGCCCGCTCAAGCAAATCAGTGAACAAAGGGAGGACAGTGACAGTGCTACAGTGCATTATTTACCATATTCTAACACTAAAAGGGAGTAGGGGGGTAATGGGCCATTAATATCTACCAAAAATTAAAAAATTTCACTCCAATGCCACCTTGTAAAACTCTCCCTTTGATGCGAATATGGTGCTCACAAGAGAAGCTGGACACTAACAGCTGGTCACCTGATGAGGGCCCAGGACAGGAGCCAGATGCCAGTTCCTGCCCTCAGCAGGCCCTTCAACCGATGGACTCAGCAGACTTTATTGACCAGTTTTCATTTCTAACCTCTAAAACTCAGTGATAAGCTGAAGCACGAGAAAAGCGTAAGGAAAACTTTCTCATGGCCCAAAAATGGTCCCTGAATATGTCAAAAGAGTGAAATGGAATTCCAACAGTGTTTTTCAGAGGAAGGCTCGTGAATTTCCTTTTCTTCTTGACAACAGAGCAAAACTAAAAGAGTATGCTTAAATATTTCAGATATCACACAAAAACAGGATGGATTCCACTTACCTTCCGCATCCCGAATGAAGGCAGCTTTTCTCTGAAGCGCTGAAATTTAAAAAAAAAAGAAAATTAAAAAAAAAAATCAACATTCACAGGACTATAGAAATGGCAGCTGAAATAAATCGACAGTAAAATCCAAACACATCGCTGTCTAGGTTCAAAACCCTTTTATGATTTACTGAGCACAAGAGGTCAGTCAAAACTTAAACTGTGTCTTAACTGCATGTCGCATGGCCCAGATCACTGGTGGAGCCCCCAGACCCCTGACCAGTTTAGAACCCCCCACCCCCATGGTCTCACAGGGAAGTAAGCTGCAGTCTGAACCAAAACAGACCTGGTGTGACAGAGTTAAAGGGCAGATCTGAGTGTCCTCAGGACCCTGGTCTCTGCCTCTCAGGGCCAACATGCCAGCCCAACCCCAAGCATCACAGGGTCCCCACAATGAACAGCTGACCCATCGTCAAGAGGCACCCATGAAAATGGCAGACTGTTCTACAACCACCTGAGCGATTTTTCCCTTCTACTTTTCTTTTTTCTGATTTTTGGGTCACACCCAGTAGATCTCAGGGCTTGATTCTGGTTCTGCACTCAGGGATCATTCCTAGCAGGCTCGGGAGACCATCTGTGTTACCCAGGATTGAGCCCAGCCAACCTTGTGCAGAGACAGCTCCTCTGTGCTACCTTTGGTCCACTCTAAAAGGTGTCTTTTATGAGAACATCCCATGCAGTCTCTGCAAATCCAATGTGTGTGTGTGTGTGTGTGTGTGTGTGTGTGGGTGTGTGTGTGTGTGTGTGTGGTGGGGGTGGGGTCATAGAACATTTTTAAATGTTGTTTTAAAATAAATTTATGTAGAGACACACAGAAACCTCGGACCGAGCAACCTGCACCAGAGATGGCCCGAGACTTTGCAACAGACCTTCTCCGCTGGGTGTGCCAGGTGCCGTCCCACCGCCTGCCCTCCATGAGCTCCAGCGGTCGCTATTTTCTAGAAGCTAGCAAGAAGCACCAGCTCCCACGTGGCCACGATCCAGAGACACACACAGGAATCTCGGACTCGAGCAACTTGCGGCAGCGATTTCCTCAGACCCTAATTATTAAAACCTTAGAATTCCTGGAGAGTGGCTGCACAACATTCTATCCATTACAAGCAATAAAAAACACACTGTCTAGCAACTGTATTTTCAGCAGGTATGAGGGGTGTAGGACTGGTCTCAAAATATCAAAGGTAACTGGAGAAAGAAGACGCTGCAAATTGTCTGCCACATAGGCAGGGGAGGTGTGGAATGGGGGGTTGGCGGGGCCCGCGGGGAATACTGGGGATTTTGGTGGTGGAAAATGTGCACGGGTGAAGAAATGGGTGTTTGATGACCATATGATTGAAGCTCAAACAGAAAATTTTTGTTACTGTATCTCACGGTGAATGAATAAAAAAATTTTAAAAAGGGGAAAAAAGTTGAATATACTGAGAAATGTCTGATTCGCATTCACACCAATTTTAATAGACTGTTACATTTGGGATCATGAAAAATCTCAGGCAAAAGGGGCTCATACCGGGCAATGTTTACGGCCTGTGGACTTATGGTTAGTCTTAATATGAGCAATAGCCTCTGTTCACTTGATCACTTGACTTTCCGTTAATCATCGATTTGCTCAAGTGGGCGCCAGTAACATCTCCATTTGTCCCTGTCGGCCAAGACTCATGCACGACTGAAGCCCCACAGAACAAGATAAGCCCAACTCTGAGACCTTGGACTCCAGGCTCAACGGACCCGGGGACAGAGATTCTCTGCTTGCTCCCACCAACCACAGGTGATGAAGGGATTAAAATCAGGAGCCCCACACTACCCCTGCCCTGTCTGCTTCCACCAACCACCAGAGACCCAGGGATTGGATTGCGCACAGAAGACCCACCCTACCCCTACCGGGACCAGATAAATACCTCACTGGCAGACCTCCACTACCTCCACTACCCAGCCGCCACCACGCTCCAGGACACTTTCCGGAGCGCGCGGCTGCGACACATTATAAGACACTAAATACCCATCTTCCAGAATTGCCATACCATATTTGGTAAGGTTCAAATATGGTTTGAAGCATGGAAACACCTACAAGGGTGATTAGAGGCCGCCCCAAAAGCCTCTATCCCTCTCGGAGAGCCTGGCAAGCTACCGAGAGTATTCCGCCCGCACGGCAGAGCCTCACAAGCTATCCGTTGTGGATTCGATATGCCAAAACCAGTAATTACAATGGGTTTCATTCCCCTGACCCTGAAGGCGTCACCCATATGGCAGCATTGAGAAGGATGAGAAAGGAGAGGCCGATAAAATCTCAAGGCCGAACTAGGCTGCCACAACAAAGGAAGACAAAAACGATCGTCTGACTTTCAATGCATGTAGGCGAGCATCAGCCCCTGTTCAACACGGACAAATCACCGGCAGCCACAATTCACACATTCTCCCAGGACAAAGCACCTGTTCCGAAGCTGCAGATTCAAACCCAGAGCCCATGGCATGATGAGCGGAGAACTGGAAGCCTCACTCCCCTCACAGGAGCACCACACTCCAGAGGTTTCCACAGCAACACAACAACAGTTGGTCCACGGTCACAGACCTATCACCAATGCATCTCTCCCTGATTCTAAATGTGCTCCCGATTTAGAATTCCAGATGAGAATTCCAGCAGCAACTGGAAAATTGTGTTTACTAAATAGTGACCGGCACCAATACTTTATTGCCAAGGGTTAAGAAAGACGCAAGCACACCTGGCCCCATTTCTTTCACCAACATTCACAGAAAGCTTTCTTGCCTAAAAACACACTCAGGAACTGTTTGGCGGAGCCATTGGGCAGCTGAACGTGAAACACCAAACAGATCAGCATCCTTTCTTTGAAATTGTGAAATGGTTCTCATGCAAGCTGGAGAGGGTGCTGGATCTCACTCATCTGTCACCACACACAAAGGCACGAGGAGAAACTGGGCTGCAGCATCGGCACTGCAGGAGGTCGGGCTGTCACCAGCCATGCGCCCAGACGCGTTAGACACCTAACGTCCACATCCCCGGGCTGTCGCAGAGAGGAGCCGCCTCCCCACAGGGGAAATCAGAGAGTCAGAGGACGAGCACGGGAAAGTGCTCACAGCCAGCAGGAAGGCCGCTGTGGTGTTTGTTTGGCCCACGTGAGTTTAGCCAGCCATCACTGATGACTTGAATTGTCCTACCATGCCAAACAGATGACTACACCTTCTCCGTGTCACTGAGGCTATGGAAGGCATTTGACTCCCTAACACAGCCCTGAATCCGTGTCTGCTTCTCTGACGTTTAGCAGGACACCGACCTTTGCTGGTGACTGTGAACGGGTCCTGGCCCTCCCAAATACCAGCTAGCTGGCAGCATGTGCCGCACGGCAAAGATGAACGTCAGACTCCCTCAGGATCTCCTCCTTTTCAAAGACAAGCTCCCCCCTCCCCCAAGAGGGCAGCGGGAGACTGTGTGGCAGCCCTGCAGAGCACGACCCCTGGCAGCCCAGAGCAAGCCCTAAGCCAATGGATGTGGCCCAGGAATCCCCCCCTCCCCCCAAACCAATCCCACCACGCACAAAACCCAACAAAACCCAGCGGCCTTCCATGGCTCCATCCAGGGCACTGCATAAGGTCCCCAACACTGCCAGGGTTCCATCCTAACAAGCGCCAGGAACTGACCCTGAGTGCTGTGGGGTGTGGGTTTACCACCCACCTCAACAAAATCCTGTCTCTTTTATCACACTTCTCCCTAGAACCACCATGTATTAATCTGGGCTAAACTAGGCAAGGACAGAACATGCTGACACAGTCTGTGACTTAAGGACCCCGAGTGTGAGCCACCATGGGGACAGGGCGCTGAGGACTCAGGAGAACCCAGCTTGTCAGTCCTGACGTTGAAACATCTGGGGCTCAGAGCCACAAGGCATCTAATTCCAGGGACTAGTAAGAATCTTATCCTCTGTAAAAGGCAGGACTAAATTCAGTGGCCCAGGAAAGCAATTCTAACCCCGTTTCTTCAAGGCTGACAAAGGCATCTGGGAGCTAAGCCGAAGCGTCTGGCGCCTGCTTTCGCCTGGACTGGAGGCTGTTTCCGGTCCTAGAACATCTCTCTGTGCATGGGCTATGCGGGCTCCTCCACCACAGACGTTTTTATCGAACAGGGAAAGAGATGGGGTGTGTATCCCACAGCCTGCTTTCCATTACCTGCATCTCGATGTAACGAAGATCCGTCTTCTTCTTCTGCAGTTCCTCCAGTAACTGCTGGTCCAAGGCTCCATCCGGCTCGTTGTCTTGGAAGATATACTCAGCATCCCGGTCCCCGTATCTGTCCCTGACCCTGAAGGGCACCTTTTCAGGCTTCACCAGTCTCTTCTCGTGGTTCTCGGGCTTCTTCTCCGAGTGGGGCTTGCTTTGGGCAGGGACCTCGGTGCCGTACCTGTTGGACAGAGGGGAACATGCCAAGGTTCAACGAGAAGAACCGTCTTAATCCAGTGCGCCCTTTCCCCCAAGTCACCAGCAAAGCTGTTTCTCTGGAGAGGGGTGAGAGTGCTGGGGTCCCTCCCTGGGCACTGTGCTGCCCGCACACCGCAGACTCCCTTCATGGAGTAATGCTCTCTCCAGGACAGCTGATGGAACTTTCCCCAAACAGCAGGGTTTCAGGAATGAGGTCTCAGGAAAGAGCCCGGGTCTCTGGATCAACGGCTCTAACCCAACACAGATGACCATGCTCCATCTCCCCGAGGTGCCCCTGCCCCAAGCCAGGCAAGCACGTGTACCCGTGATCCTCAGGCTCAAACCAGGAGAGCTGGGGCTCCGTGTTGTCCCTTTCGCTCTTGGCCTGCACCGAATGCAGCAGCTGCACGATCTGCTCCTCTCGGCGCTCATCCATGTGCACCACGGCCCTCTAGGCAGAGGAAGCGAAGATCAGCTCAAGAACACACACGGACCACGGGCCGGACATGGAGACGCCACACGTGATCTAAGAACAAGCTCCACACACCCACCCACCGGGCCCGGGAGGAGAAAGTCCTTAGTGGGAGCCTTCCAGCCCCTCTTCTCTCGACTGTCTGGCAAAGGAAGCAGATTCTGCCGCACGAGTCTGGCCCCTGACTGCCTGTCCTCAGGCATAATGAATACAGTGACGCCCAGCTTCGATCCTCACACCCACGATTAGTTATTTTAACCCAAAGTGGTTCTGAAGACGCTGGGAACTGAAGCACTGTCCTGGTCGGGGTGAACACTAGGGACTCCTCCACAGGCGATGAGCAGGCCCGGGGCAGGGAGCAGTGATGACCCACTGGAGCCCCATCACACAACAGGGAAGCATGAAGAAGGCTCTTCTGCAACTGCAGATTCCAATGCCCAGAGGTAACCCTAGGGCCACAAAATCTTCAGGCTTGCCAACAGGAGGCTGGCTGGGCACCACAGTGGGCAAGAGTGACAGTGGGCCCTGGCACCGTGAGTATGCATGGCTTGTCTGTGTGTGATCCCCGCTTAAGGAAAGACTTTTAAAAGAAAAATGCCAGCCCTTGGAGGGAATTCCAGAAAGCTTTTTGAGGTGGGTGAGGGAAGGTTTGGGGCCAGACCCAGCAGGGCTCGGAGGCCGCATGGGAGGCTGGGAACGGACCCAGGCAGCACCCTCATCCTGCAGTCTCCAGGTTGGGTTTTAGACAGAGGGCAGACTGAACATGAAGCAGACCCTAAAAGAATTCATCCTGGTGGTTTGTGTGCGCTGTTGGGGCCAACTGACATTCCTGTCGGTGGTGATGCTCCCCACTGGGCACAGGAGTCTGGGGCATCCAGCCGGGCCCAGAGACAGACACAGCCACGGCTTGGGGCTGCATTTCATTTCAGCAGGCATTGCCCCCTTTCCGGACATCCTCAGACATTCCTTCTGGGCCCGGAGCGCCCACTCGACCACGCGGAGTCTCCCGGACTCCTGCTCAGTTCCCACTGCCGGGTACCCTCGGCCTTCACACCCAGGACAATACTGAGACCCCTCATCAGCTCCCCGACCCACCGGCCCGTCCATCCTCACCCCACCTCGCAGAGTGCGGGTCTCCGAAGAGGCTCGCCCGCGGGACTCCCCCACCCGCGGCCGGCCCGGCGCCCACTTCCGGGGCCGCGCGGCTGTCCGAGGTGCTGAGCCGGCCGGCCGTCGTCCACCGCGCGGGGAGCGGGCACCGGGGCCGGGCCTGACCACCACGTCTCCCCGGCCACAACCGGTCGTGCGGGCAGCCGAGCGGCCCCTCGCCCCTCCTCCCGTGCCCGCGGCCGGTCCACGGCACCCGCTGCCCCGCCCACGGCCAACGAGGCTCCAGCGCGCCCCCGGAGGGGGACGGTCCGGCGGCCGGAGTCCAGCCCGCACGGCGAGGCCCCTCGGCCCCACCAGCAGCCCCGCGCCGGCCAGGCCACAGCCCCTCGCAACTCGCGGGCGCCGTCAGCGCCGCCGCCCGCCCGCCCGGCCGACCCCGCGCAGCCTGAGCCCCGGCACGGCCCGGGCGGCTGCGAGCGGGGCTTCGGCGCGGCCCCGGGGAGCGGCGGCGCCGCGCCCGGGGTCCGAGGGCCGCGCCCGGCGCCCGCTCACCTCCTGGCGCTCGGCGTCGCGGCTCTTCTGGCCCTGCTTCTTGGCGTACCACAGGCCGATCTCGCGGCCCTTGAGGTGCCCGGGGTGCCGGCCGCGCCCGCCGCGCCCCCCGCCCCGGCCCGACCCGCGGCCCCCGCCGTCGCGGCCCCAGCCCTGCTGCTCGTGGCTCATGGTCGCCGCTCGCCGGGCCGCGGCCGTTGCAAATGGCGCCGGGCCGGAAGCGGCTGCGCGGCCCCTTCCGCCGTCCCGCGCGTCACAGGCCGGCGACCGCGCGCCGCCCCGTCCCCGCGTCCCGGCGTCCCCGGCGCGGGCAGGGGCCCGCGGGCCGCGGCGCCCGCGCCCGGCCAGGGCACCGTCCCGCGCGCCGTCTCCCGCTCGTCACTGTCCGCCTTTGTCCGGCCGCCGGAGGCGCGTCTGCGGGAGTGTCCGCGGGGAGGGGCGGCCACCGCGGCCCCGGGCCCAGCGGCCCGGGCAGCCTCGAGCCCAGACGCGGTTCCGAGGGGGGCGGGCTCCGGGGGTGCCGCCCACAAGACCCGGTGACCGAGGCCAGGGCCCCCAGCACGGTGCGGGTAGCGGGACTGGTTGTATCACCCCCTCGGTGAGACGCTTCGTTCAAGCACCCGCCTTTCCAAAGTTCCTCTGCCTGTGCCGCCGGCCCTAAAGTGGGCCTCGGGCAGCACCCAAGGTGGTAGGAGGTCAGACTCTTGCTCCCTTTGGTGGCCGAGCGTCCAGGCCCAGGAATGCAGGGGTGCAGGACAGCCGGGCACTGCACGAGGAAGTGCACTTACTTGAGCCCGTGAAGGTGAGGTCAGGTCATGTGTGCAGCAGCACCCTGGTCCCACACCATCTCCAATGCTGACCCAAGAGCAGGAAGCCGTCTGTCTGAGGGTTGTATCTTCTCTCAGTCCCAAGCAGAGTCCTCCCAAGGCGAACATCACGAATCCCCCCCCCCACCACCACCCCTTCTGCAGCATAAAGTCAAACGGGAGTGCCCAAGCTGGTGCTTTACAACAAATGTCACTTTGGGAAAGTCTGGAGAAAAATCTGTTCCTTGGGCTTCTTCCTCCCTTAGTTGGAAATAGCAATTCTCCTAGGTGATCCAGTGTGCGGTCTGAAGGTGTCCTGGCTCAGTGGCTCTGGGCCAGTGGAAGGCTGGCTCAGCTCTTCTTGCAGATGCCAGGCTGGACTCGGAATCTGTTCCCGCTGTCACACCTGTACCCCCGGAACTGGGTTCCCAGTTGCCAGCCTCTGGGGTGTAGCCAGGGGGAGCCCTGACCTGCCTCTGAGGGTAGTCCCCACGATGGCAGCCCTGCTCAGGGGATCAGGCATTGCTTTCTCCTTGCCCCCAGCCCTGTGCAACAACTATTAGTTCAGAAGGGCAAGAGGGGAAATTTTAGTGTTTTCGAGAACAGACCTCCTGGGTGTGGAGCAGAACCTGCAGAGAAAAGAGACTCATGGCCTCCATAGACAGATGTATAGCTCTGGCTTCAGAGAGTTGAGGGGGCTTGTTGGAGCTTCACCCCCACGTTCTTCCCAAGAATGCCTCCCCACCCGGGAGGAAAGTGGGAACGTGGCCACAGGGACAGGACTGTGGGGGAAGCAGGACTTGGGAAGGAAGCAGCCCTGAGGGAGGGGAGCAGGTGTGCCACATACACCTCCTGTCTTTGAGGACCACAGCTGTGCCATTCGCATGCTGCGTCAGCTCTGCTGGGCTGGATGTATCCTTGTCAGTTGTGGCTGAACTAGTGACATGGAGAGCAGCGCCCACCTGGACAGGCAGCTGCCGTGGATGCTGCCTCCATGTTGCCATCCCTCCCACCTCCAGCTCCCGTATCTGGCTGTGGGCACTCTTGCTGCTCTCCCACCGAGCAGGTCACGACACCTGCTTAGCAGCAGGGGATGCTAGTTTCTCTGGAGGCATCTTTTCTCTTCTGGAACAGCGACCCAGCATGCTCCTGGGAAGCGTGAGCCAAGGTCCCCGGAACCGGTGCTCAGGGCCTGGAGATGCCCGCCTAGCACACCAGCAGCTCTTGCCGCCATACTTTGAGTGTTTGGGTTTCCTGCTGTGAGCCCTGGAATCCCTTCTACAGTGCAAGTGGGTCTCCCCGTGCTCTTGTATGTTGGAGCAGAGACCTCACCCCGGGGAAAGACCCTGCCTGTGTCAGTCCTGGAGGCGAGTGTCGGAACCCAGGTGACAGGGTCTGCACTTGACACAACCCGAGTGAACCAGGGCGCTCAGAACAATGCAGAGTCAGAGAGCACAGCCCTGAGAGTCCGTGTGTGGCCCCTCACACCCGGGTGGTGTGCCACGGTGTTACAGCCATCACCGCGTGCACTGGGCTCTTACACCGCACCGAAGATCATTTCGCTGATCACTGCAGCCCTTCTCCGTTGCAGCTTTTTTATTCAGCAGCTGATGTTCGTTTTTTGCTACAGGCAACAACCAGGCTATTAGCTCGGAAGCTGTGGGGAAAGAGCAGGGGCTCCCACACAGTCACCTGAGTGTATATACCTCCCATACCCTGCCCTTGGTTGTTTCTGCTCTTTGATTGGGTACACACCATGAGACCACCCGATTGGAACAGTCAATCTGTTTGCATATGCAAATGAAGGCGTGGCGTGATTGTGGGACAACCAATCAGGTTGCACGTGCCCTTATATGGGCGCCTAAAGTGACCAACCGCTCTGGTCACATATGCAAATGAGGGCGTGAAGTGATTGTGGGACAGCCAATCAGACGGCACATGTCCTAATATGGGTTTCTGAGCCGCTGTCTTATGGAGCAGGGTCTAGAGAATGGTCAGTCAGATCACACACGCCCTAACATGGGCAAGTATGGTGCCTCTGTCCTCATGCAAATTAGGCCTATCGAACAACCAATCATATTACATATTCAAATTAAGGCGCGTCACCTGCTCCCCCTATTCTCTGGTACCTCCGGGTCCTTCCTCTGACAGCAGGGCCACCCAGCATCCTCATCCGCAGTGTTCGTGTACCATCCGTACCATCAGCATCCCCGGTGGTGCCGTGTACCACGTCCCCGCGGGAAGCTGCAGTCCCGGGCGGGCGAGTGGGAGGACAGGAACCCGGCCCAGAGCACAAAAGTCCTGTCCCCGTCTCCAGCCTGGCCTCTGATGAGGCTCTGATGCGGAGCCCAGCCTTAACTGAACAGGCATCCCCGACTCCCGGAGCACAGGCCCCGTGAGAAACGTGGAGAATGAGATCATTTACCTAGGTCACCCACAACACTCCTTTTATTGAGTCAGAGTCCCACACTGTCCCCTCTCCCCCAGGCCCATCACAACGCCTTGCACCACCCAAGTGACAGGAGGGCAGGGTCATCTCAGGGCTTTGTACCAGTGCTGACGTGTGTGTGTCTGTGTCTGTGTCTGTGTGTGTCTCTGTGTTAGGGTAGACCATATTAGGGACAGAAAGCAGAGTTAAAGACCACACAAAATAACATTTAAATATACATTTAATGTGTGTTTACAGAATGGCCCAAATAACTCAACCTGAAGGAGAGTTTGAGATACATCACCAGCATCCGCCTTTTCTGCCATTCCCACCCTTCCCATCACAGCCCAGTTGCAAGTGCATGTTTCAGATACTTAGCAAAGCACAGTGAGCTCTGCTTGGACAATGCTTCTCTGAAAAAGAAACTGGAAGCCCCTAACGCGTAATGGTTTGTGCTTCCAGAATGGCAGAGAAAGTCGGGCAGAGCTGAGGCTTGTGAAACATACTTTTAGAGTCAACACAAGTTTGATTTTGCCTCTTCCTCTGCTGCAACCAGATGTTTGTTATTGTTACCGGGTGCACCTCACATAAGCTCACTCTGTGGCGTTTTCCCCAGTTTTCATCCAAATGAACAGAACCTAGAAAGGCTGGAGTGTCCATTCACAACCACTGGCAACCACACTGGGGTTAGGATGACTAGTTTAACTTGAAGCAGGTGACATTTGTCGTCAGGACCAGGTTTTTCAGAGAGAAGGAAGCACCCCATCGGCATTAAGAGGGGAGCAATGCAGCTCTGCCCGGGGCATGCGTGGGTGAGAACTGAAAGCTGGTTGCTGTCTAGATATGTGTGCCTTCCCAGGGGCCAGTGGGGAGCTGCTGCCTGGTCTGCTGGCGGGGAGCAGCCTGGCGCTTCAGGAACAGCCAGGGGCTCCCCCTTTCCTGCAGCCCCCTCCCCTTTGGCATGAGGCCCAGCATGGCAAGGAGTCTGTGCCCAGGACAGCCGCTCACAGTGCACAGCGAGTGCCTGTTGGCTGTGAAGTGCAAACTGGTGGATACACCAGGCCAGTCTGACTCAGGAAGATTCTGGGAAGCTTAGTGAGAGAAACTTGGCCCCTGTGTGATAACACTGACCTCTCATAGGCCACCAACAGCACTTGTGTGCTCGCCATGTTCTAGCTGGGGTGAGAAGGGGTCAGCGAGTCTTGGGGGTGCAAGAACGTCTGACAGCCTCATTGGTGCCCTGTCCAGGCGGGCGCTGCTCTCCACCTCACTAGTTTAGCCACGACTGACAAGGATGCATCCAGTCCAGCTGGGCTGATGCAGCGTGTGAACGGCATGGCCGTGGCCCCCGAAGACAGGAGGTGTATGTGGCACACCTGCTCCCCTCCCTCAGGGCTGCTTCCTTCCCAAGTCCTGCCTCCCCCGCAGTCCTGTGCCCGCGGCCACTGTCCCAGGTAGGGAGGCATTCTTGGGAAGGATGTGGGGGTGAAGCTCCAGCAAGCCCCCCCGCCTGCCTCTCCGAAGCCCCCCTCAGGACAGGGCTGCGGCATCCTGGCTGCTGCTCGCCTGGCTGCCCTGGTCACCCCTGCGGTAAGCCTGGTTCAGCAGCTGAATTTCCTCCTGGTAGCCGTCCCCATCCCTCTGCTGCTGCCCGCTGGTCAGCCTGTGCGCCTCCACCGTGTCGGGGATGGAGATGCTGAGGCCGCGGTCGGGGCAGTCTGTGGGCAGGAGGAGCGAGTAGGAGGCGCTCTCCCCCAGCTCGCAGGACACGAACCTGTTCTCTCTCCGTGAGTAGCGCAGGGAGGGCGAGCGGACCTGAGCTGAGGACTGGCTGATGTTGCTGATGATGGACACGGTGTCCAGCGCTGCCTCATTCTCACAGATCTCCAGCACCTCCAGGTGTATCTTCACGCTGGTGTTGGCCACAGCGGGAGGCGAGTCCTCGGTGCTGGGGTCGTGGCCCACGCTCTTAGACCGGTACACTTCCGTCTTCTTGGAAGCCGGGCTGATGATTTGCCCCTCGGTGCTCACCTCGTAGGTGGAGAGGGAGAGGGTCTTCCCGGTCGGCGTTTGGAGCGACACGGTTCCCTGGAATGCACACAGTGGGACGGCCAGGGCCCCTCCGGAACGCTGGGGACAAGAACAGAAGGGTGAGGGGGTGCCAGCTCCCCAGCCTCCCTTCCAGTAGGCACAGACCCAGGGCCCTGGAAACCCTTAGCTCTGCTGGCAAAGTGCTGCTGTTCTCCAGGTCAGACACAAGGTCTAAATGAGGCTGGTCTGGAACCTTCTAAGTGGAAGTTCAACACAACACGTGCATGGGCACCGGCAGATGCTTCCAAGGTCAAGTGTGGTCATAGAATGTGAGGCATGCTTGTGATATCAACATTTTGTGCGGAGGGGCACACCAGGTGGTGGTTACTCCCGGCTCTGTGCTCAGGGATCACTCCTGACAGGGCTCAGGAGACCAAATGGGGTGCAGAGACCAAACCCGAGTTGCAGTCAAGGCAAGTGCCACTGGACTGTTGCTTCAGCCCCTGTGTTTCTTGTTGAGTTTAGCTTTTTAAAAGTTGCTAAGTTGGTGGTACAGGGGTGAAGGCACAGTCAACCTCAGTTTAACCTCCAGTACCATGTAGGGGTCCCTGAGCACTGCCGTAGGTGATCCCGAGCATCAAACATGAGAACGTCCTGAGCACTGCCTTGTGTACTGCCTCACACACCCCACACCCCACACCCCCCACACAAAATTTGGTAAGTTGAGAAGTCAGAGGGAGAAGCACAACACTGGATACTGCCCTGATCTGGGTACACAGTGCAGCCAAATGGTGTGGGATCAGGGCAGACCCATGGCCTGAGCCACAGCAAGGCATTCCAGGAGCATCCCTGTGTGTAGAAGCACGCTGTCCCGCGCTCAGGAGGCTGCTCAGGCCGGGAACCAGAACAGCCACTCGTTTCTGGGCCCACGTGGCTGAGACAGTCCTGGGCAGGAGCTGTCCACCATGGGTGCCCAGGCCTAAGCTCAGTGGCAGGCATGTGGGAGCTGGGGGCTTCCCAGCAGCTCTGGGATTCTCTTCATCTCTGCCTGGACCTGGGAACTGGCCCTTGGGGTCTGCTGGGCTATACTGAGGCGGCCAGAGTCCAGCTGCCCTCTGCTGGGCCGGGGAACCCTGCCTCTCCCCACCCTGCCAGGCCAGAGCCAGGCCAGGAGGCAGGTGGGTGCGGTCTGAATTTCCGTGTTTGGTCACTCTTGGATGAGGAGCTGTTCTGCACCAGGCAGAGCTTCCCAGGCTCTCTGCTCAAAGGCACTGCAGAAATTGGGTGAGGAAGATACAAAGCAGCAAGTAAAACTTAAAGTTCAAGTGTAGAGACAGGGGTTGTTTCAGGCTGGTTCCTGAAAGGGCAGCATCTAAAATGGGGCTTAAAAATCATGACAGTGACAGCCAGGGAAATAGTGTAAGGCCTTCGATTCCTTCCTAGCTCGGGAAGCAGCTCAAGTCCGGCCCACGAGGGCCCCTGGGCACAGCCTGGGCAAGCAGGTTCACAGCTCCGAGACCTCGCTGTCCAAACCTGAAGTTAGAGGGCCAAACTCTCAAACTTTAAAACTATCCTCTTGAAAAAAAACTGTGTTATCCAAGTAAAAACCTTTTATTTCTATTTCAAGTCAAATGGACTGAAACCGGGCTTTTTCTCCAGGAAAGGAGCCTGCCATGCCACCAGACTCCACACCAGGCTGTTTTACTCAGGGCGCACCAGAGTGGGGTGGGTGAGAGCCCTTCCCGCCCCAAAGGACCCAGCCCCGGCAACGAAAAACTTCCACAGCCCAACCACCGCCACACTCAAGGCTGCTTGCCACACGCTTGGTCTGAGCCTCACGCACGAGTGAACGTATTCCTGGACCACACAGCTACATATGTGGCTGTGTGACACATCATAAGACACTTCCTACCCATTCTCCAAGAGTACCACACCACATTTGATAGGGTTCTAATAGTAGGCAACCAATCATAGAGGGAAATATATATATGCATATATACATATTTTCAGATATATATACAAAAGTTCACATCACTCAACCTTTAACAGCATGTGAGTGATATCCTAAAGAATGTCTTAATGGCCCCTGCCAAAATAGAGCAATCTTCACACTATTTCCTCTACGGATATTTTTTGTAGCATTTTCAGCGTTTTTTCAGAACAAACAATACAAAATATATTATTTCAGTTGTGCTTTGGGACAAGGATTGGGGCTTGGGATGGAAACATCCCAATTATGGTGGTGGGAAGATGTAAAGGTGGTGGGATTGGTGTTCAAATATTAAATGTAATCAAATATTGTGAACTATCTTATAAAATAAAAAATTTCAAAAAAAATGGACTGAGACCTTATTTAAGCAGACCATTGCTGCGGGCTGCCCTGGACAGTGGACAGCAGGGTCTGGAGAGTCGACACACCCCTCCCTTCCCTCCGAAGGAGGGAGGAGAAGCAGCAAACGGTCTCGAAGTTTTCTCTTCGACATAGTGCACCAAAGCAGTGCCAGCTTACAGAAGACAGAGGAAAACAGAAGAAAAACAGTTTACAGAGGAAGCACGAATCAGAGAGAAGTGGCTGGTCAGACAGGGCCCTGGAGTGTGGGCCTGTCCGTCCACGTAGGGGAACTGGACCGTATCTGAACGTGTGCAGCCAGCATCACTGATGAGCCATTCACATCAAAGCAAATCTGATAAAGAATTTTTGCATCTGCATAATGCATACTTCTAAGACTCCCCCATGCTACCCTTATCTTCAAATAAAAAACAAGCCCTAGTGAGTTATCAGATGACAGCTCATTAAAATTGGCATTTGAGAATTGCAGAGTGCCTGAGTTGAGCTTAGTTTGAAGTCTGGTTATGCTGGAATAGCACAAAATGTCTCAGGGTTAAGAATTATGGGACAGTCTGATTCAAAGGGATGGTGTTCTTTTGAGGTTACAGGAGCAAAAATGTTACATAGGCATTTTTACATAGAATAAATGCAAAGTTGGCAAGTTAATTTTAATGGAATAATACTGTCTATGAAACTAATTAGGGTTAGCTTTACTGGTTATAAAAAAGTTCATGTAAAAACTTCTGACTTCTATAAGAACTAGAAGTGTACAGTACATTGTACATCTTGGAGCAAAATCTTAAAATTTTGACAGTTTTATCTATAAATTCATTTATATATTTATAAATTTAAAAAATTTCCCCAAAAGACTTGTTGTTTTTTGAGTTAGAACATTACCATGGGTCGGGGGAAGCAGGAATAGAGACAGGAATTCAGAGACGGCACTGAGAGAATTTGAGTGAAAGGAATTCTTCAGCTCTTTGAGGACACGGAGTGGGAAAGAGGACCAAGGAATAATGAGCACTGTCACACTGTAGGTCTGATGCAGGGCAGGTCTGCAGCCCTGGGGGAAGCCCCTTGGAAACAGGAAATTCATCTGCAATTGTTTTACTTTTTTAATTTTTATTTTATTATTTTTTGAATTGTTTTTTACATTCATGCTGCAACTGGGAGATTCTTTTTTTTTTAATGTAAGAGTACTGCTATTTATTCAGCCATTGATTAGTTGATTGAATTGGGCATGAACTCCACCTTACTTTTTTCCCCATTTTTTATAAATTTATTGAATCACTGTGAGAGCAGTTACAAAGCTTTTGGGTTTAAGTTTAAGTTTAAGTTTTGGTCATGCAGTGAAACACCCGTACCTTCACCCGTGCCCATTCTCCACCAACTAAAAACCCAGTAACCCCCATTCCACACCCTCCCCCTAACTGTGGGGCAGATGATTTCCACATTACTTTCTCTCTACTTTGATCACATTGAATATTTTGACACCAGACCCACCATTATTATTTGGGATTTTACCCCCAACACTCAGATCTGCTGAAAAGGCAACAGTAGACAATTTGTTTTCTATTGCTGGTTAAGAATAACATACGATGTCACATGGCTGCAGTAGTGGCCGTGCAATTTTGAAATTCCGAAATTTTAACACTTAAATCTGGAGGGATTTCTTCCAAAACCTGCTGGGTTCTGAGATTTGTTCCTGAGTCTCTGGGATCATGGCCATTAAGCAACTTGATCAGGATCCAGAAAGGCAGTTCATGGGCGGCAACTCAGGGTCTCGTTGGGATGGGGAGGAAAGGGCCGGCTCACCCCCATCCCATGAGGTCCCATGTGTCTCGTCACTGAGGGCCCAAACCTGACTGCCCAATGGTCCCTGGAGGGTGGCAGCCACCGAACTGCCTAGGGGAGCAGGCGGAGGGACAGCACCCTTTCCCCCCTGGGGTGACCTGGCGACAGTAACCTACTTGGGAACCAGATGCATTTCTGCTAAAAGCCATTGGGTTTCGAGATTTGTTTCTGAGTCTCTGGGATCATGGCCGTTAAGCAGTTCAATCAGGAACCAGAGAGGCCATGTCTCCAATTATATAGCTGAGCCGGAGGTGGTTTGTGGGTGTGTCTCCCACATACCTAACTTTTGGCCGTTTACTTCCTTGGTAGACTTTGCCCCAAGTTTTTGGGGTCTGGCCAAAGACACAGCAGTGACTTTGGGGTATCTGGAAGACTGAAGGCGCCATCAGGCTGCTGATGCACTCAGGCGAGGTACAGATTGACCTGCTGGCGACACCATACCCCGACAACTGGGAAATTCTGAGACCCAGAAAAGCCAAACTTGGAGCGAGGGCAAGGAAGAATCCTTTTTGAAGCAGGGCTTATCTTACAGATGAGCGGAAAAACCAAGTTGAATGCTGTTATTTAACATTTATCCACAGTCCAGGCTGGGCAAAATCCAGGAAAAGGAATACAGACCTAAAAATACTGAGTATGAAGACACAAAATTATGGTTTACCCTTGAAAATATTAGAAAATTTAGAGATGCAAACCTGAAAAGACTAATTCTGAAGTTTAATGGGATGGCTAAATTCTAGGTAAACATTAAGAGATCAGATGCAGTAATAAGACAGTAATAAGAAAATTATAAAAACTATGTGGACCTGTGAGAAAAATGCTGGGATAATAAATGTTCTGGATAAATAGACTAAAGGAACATGGTTCCCAATGGAAAGCCCCAGTAGGACTCTTTTAGCTTACGAATTCCAGATAGTTT